CTCCCCCAATACCCCCACACAATATAAAAAATCCCCAAGCCATTAGCTGCCCCGGAACTTCCCCTTCAGCCACCCCAAAGTTTTACTCTTATTATATAAAAATTCAGAAAAAATCGTTACAATGGCCCTTTGAAGCTGGCGATTTTTTGTAGGACTCATACAATACCTCTACATAATTTAAAAAATCACCAAGGCATTAGCTGCCCCTGAACTACCCCTCCAGCCACCCCAAAGTTTTTTATATTGTGTGGGGGTATTGTATGAGTCTTATAAAAAATCGCCAGCTTCAAAGGGCCCTTGGAAGGATTTTATCTTAAATTTTTTTTTCCAAGTGTAAGTTTTTGGGGTGGCTGGAGGGGTGGTTTTTGTGTTTTGAGGAGCTAATATATCATTTTTAGGGCTCACTGTCTCTATTCGAAACTGAAAAACCATTTTCAGTTTCAGGAGCAAAAAAAATTTTTTTTTGATTTTCGTTCATAAATGAACGTTCGGAACTTCAGGTACATAATAAAATTTACTAAGAAAAAGTTGATAAAACTAGAAATTATTATTGTTTTATTTACAACTCATCTTTTGAATGATAAGTAGTTGAAGTAAAATAGAAGAAACTTGTTCAATCAATTGTTAAAATATATAATTTAATTTTTGCGACGGAAACAAAGACACGCCAACATTCAAATTAAATCTTAAAAGATGGACTTTAAATTTTATTAATGTTATAAAATTACCTTCGCTGTCCTATAAATTGTTAATTTTATTTAAAAAACATTTAAGATAGTTAATTAATTATTTGAATAAATGAAACAACTTTTTTAATAAAGAATAAATTTTTTTATCAACTTTATACTTTGCCGAAAGTTATTCTCAAGATTGTATTTTAATTAAAAAAAAAATACATAATAGTAATAATAGGGAATAAAAGATAATTTTTATTTTTTTTTTTTTTCTAGTGGAACAAAGGGGAATAGATTTAATTGTAATTTAAGCGTTCTTTTAACAAAGTAATTAAGTCCTTTTATTTTCTCGTACCGAGTATACCTATACTTTAACACTTGTTATCATCTTAAATGGACGTCTGAAAAGGAGAGTACTGAGTGAAAGGCCTTCCGTAACTCAATTGTCAACAAAAGTTGTTTCATTCTCTTCTTCTTTCTACTTTATTATATACATCAACTTCACCCTCTATTATTCCCGATATAAATTAAAAAATTTAATTTACAAAACTTGAGTTAATTTCTATAAAATAACAATAATAATAATAATGAAACTCGTTGTTACGCAACTTCTCCAAAATGAACAATTTTCATAAATTACGATCTATAAAAATATGATCTTTATTTTCTTAATGAAGTTGATAAAGTTTGTGTTGCTTGTGAACGATTTTTACTTTATTTTAATTAATGCAAAGTATAATCAATATTAATACTATGTTAAATAAATCATTTGAATACGATAGAAAAAAATTATGATATTTTTTTTTTTACTTTATATATTATTCGAAATACGATAAGTAACAACTTAAAAATATTAAAAAATTTCTATCTCGGTCGAAAAAATTTTTAATTTTATTTTTAAAAAATTTTCCTTAGATTATTTAAATTATTTTCTTTTCTAGGGATGTTCTTTTGAATGAAAAGTCATATCATTTCAGGAAATGTTTATAAGTATAACATTCAGCCAATTGATAAGATTAATACCTTAAAGTTACCAAAAAATACAAAGATAAAGATGAAGTAATATTTTCAATTTGATAATAATTAATTTCTTTGAAAAAAATTGAATTCATCCTCACAATTAATTTTTTTATAATAATTTTTTATCAGATATTTTGTACCGTCAGCTTTAATAAATATAATAAAATTTAATTTTACTATTAACCATAAAATATTTGAACAAATAAAGTAATAATACCTCAAAAGTAAAACAATGAGTAAAAAATAAAAGCGAAAAAAAAAAAATTAAACGAATAAATGTAAGTTAATTTGCGTGAGGAACATTCGCAGGATGCGATGAAGGTCAGGGGTACATACCAACATAAACAAGAGGGGATAAGTTTAATAGTGTATTGTAATATTGAACCAGCACAACAACATTTACACTAATGATTAAACATATATACTCGGTTAAATTAAAGGTTTTATCAGTTGTCACGTTGTATTAAACGCAAACGTGAACGATATGGATGGCTAAAATATAATCATGTATAAAAATCAAATGACGTCTATATATTACTTTGCGAATCTAGTCATAAGAAGATCCCAAGTATTAATGACAATGCTCCACGCCCACATCCCGTGACTCGATGCTTTATAATATCCTGCGGTATTGCTAAAATCTTAATATTCTGATTTTGAATTTTATTGCAAGTGGACGTGTTTCGTACATCGGAAAAAAAAGATTCTTTTTATTTTATTTTTTATAAAAAAAAGTTTGCCATTCGAATTATTTCGGGCAAACGTATTGAAAGGAAAATCCTCACGTAAAAAAAATAATAAAATCAACAAACATGATGAGGGTGATACTGAGCTGCGTCTTCCTAGGCTTTCTTATGCAAACTTCATTCGTTTCTGGAGGGGTAAGGAATTTATTTTTATTTTATTTTTGCTTGCAAAATTTTTTGGTTGATTTGCTTTATTTTTTTAATTAATTTTTTAGTTACCTGACTGGGTACCGCCAGAAATTATTGAAATGGCGGCAGGAGAAAAGGGAAGATGCATGGGCGAGCATGGAACCACACAAGGTTTTTATTTACCTGATAGATATTTTTAAAATAAAGAAAATTAATAACTCGATAACTTAAAATAAATTTTTTCTTCCAGATATGATTGATCAGGTTAACGCTGGTAATATTCTAAATGATCGTGCTTTAACTTGCTACATGTTTTGCCTTTTTGAATCCTTCAGTATAGTGAGTTTTAAAGTTATTGTTAAAATAAAAGTACTTTACATTTAGTTATAATAAATTAATTTTTAAGATTGATGAAGACGGTGTACTGGAGTACGAAATGCTTCTTGAAATGTTTCCAGAAGATATTAAAAATAAAGCAACTGATATTCTAGGAGGTTGTGCCACACAATGTAAGTCAAAAAAACAAATTGATATGTCAGATTTTTTCATTGCTATTAAGTTATTCATTTAAAATTTAAACTTTCCAGCTGGAGCTGACAACTGCGAGAAAGTCTACAAAATTGCCACGTGTGTCCAGGGCAAAGATCCCGGCGTAAGATTTTTTTTTTTTTTTTTTCATTAAATTTATAATTAATCAAAAAAGCCAGTGACTAAAAAATGTGTCTTTTTTTCAGATGTGGTTTATGATTTAGAAACATTAAAAAAACGCTGGCAATGAAATAAAAATGGGCGAGTTTATTGACGAACGATTTAAGATATTGGAAGTATTGGAAGAAGAAATTAAATTACCTGATTCAGGATTTGTTTTATTTTAAATTACTTGGGAGCGAGAAAAAATAAGTTTGAACTTTTGATTTATTATTCAAAGTTTTAAGGACCGACGGAATGTGTTAATGTCAGTGTATATTTGTGTGTGTGTGTGTGTGAATGAAAAAAAAAGATAAGTACGTGACAAATTCAATATACACATACAATAAAATGTTCTAATTATCAATGCGCCTTTTCTGGACCTGGGTAACTACCAAATATAATCAATTATCAATAAAGAGTAATATAAAATAATAAAACAGTTATAAAAATTATTTACCGTATAAATATTTTTTTTATTAAAAGAAAATCATTTTTTTTCCTGTCAAAATGTCCAATTTTCGTTAACTGAAATTTTATATTAATTTTATCAAAAAAATCACGATAAATTTTAATTTGTATCTCTTAACAAAATTCCTGAAGGCAAAAAATTTTTCTCATCCAAGAGTTGTAATTTATTGATTCCAAAATTTTGAAGACTACAATTTTTTTTTTAGTGTAAAAGTTTGTTACTTTAACTGAAATTATCGCAAGTTAAAAATAGTAATTTGCTTATTTAACTAAAAATAATTAAACAAGCTACTGTAAGTGATCATTTATCAACGACTATTTTTTAAAATAAATATTTTTTTATTGAGTAATGATTTTAAATAAAGATAATTAAGTAATTAAGATAATTTACAAAATGAGTATAATAATGCGTTGTGACTAATATAACAAGACATAATAATAAATAATATACTATTAACGAGTATAACATTTAAAAAAAAAAAAAAAAAATCATCTAACAATACCCAATATGGTTGAAAGAGGGGCGTTATCAAGCGTAAAGTATGCGTGTGATAAAAAATATTAAGAATAGAAGTACAAGGCACGTAAAGTATGTATTATAGGACACTAATGGTGCTTGAATGAAATTACACGGCGTAGCGTGGTTTAGTTAATTGAGTTTGTATCAAGATTAGATGCTAATCCAATAGATAATAATCGAGATGAATTTATCAACATGAAACTGAGCATGCCAAGTGTAACTACGTGTTAAAACATCATATTAAAAAGTGATAGCCAGACTAAACAAATATTAACAATTTTCTAAACATTTATCGCTGTGAGAATTGTGAAGTAAACTTTGAGAGCTAGCAACGCTCAAAAGTTTTAATCGACTTCATTTTTTTACTTCACAAACTCCAAATATAAAAATGACGATAGCAGTAACATCAACAACAACAACAACAACAACAACAACAACAACATTGGACTCTAGGATTAATTTTTGATAGCGTTTAGGCACAAAAAATTCTACCTTGAGGTCGATAGAGTGAATAGCGACGGAGTTTGGAGAAGGATCTTTAGTAGTATCTCGATTTTCAATGTTGTTGTTAACGTTGGGCAATGAACCACCAGCTCTGTATTGACTCCCAATGTTTATGTGGAGGTGCTTACTGACGCTTGATTGAGGAGGACTTGCACCAGCACTCTTCACAGACAATGGTGTCTCTGGTACACCACTTCCAGTAGGACTTGCTCCTACTGAACTGCTTGCTGACGCCACCTATGCAAGTTCATAACAATTGTTGTTTTTCTTTTCCAATTAAATGCAATACAATTGTTTTCTTTTTTTTCCAAGTGACACTTTATGTCTATCTAACTACTACACTAATGCGCTACTATTTTTTTTTACCATTGGATTTAATTTTTTTATTTAAATAAAAATACATGCAGATTGATTGGAATTGCCGAGGTCTGAGTAAAAAATTATAAATTTATAAATTAAAAATTAAATTAAAATTTAAAAGATATATAAAACGAGGTCACATTAATATTTCCTTTAAAATTTTTAATTTATCGTATTTTCCATTAATGTAATTACTGATTGACATTTAATTTAAATCCTATAAAATAAGAAGATAAGTCTATTCATTTGTGGACCAAATAATAATTTATAAAATTATAAACTTGGTTTTTTTTTTTTTTTAATGAACTTTACGAGCTTTAAAAAACAAGACTGAGAAACGAACCCTTGTTCTGTTATTTTTTTACCTCTGTTTACTTCCGAGTTTAATGGAAAGTCAGGGAGCGATTGTAGTTTCGAACTCTACTCGATGCAGTATAACTATCATTATACATACATATATATTACTCGTTCGTTCAAATATCGGAGCAATGTGTGACTCTATTACACCATAGGTGCACACGTGTGGGACTCATAATATAACCTTCGTCGTCTCATACATGTGATGATAACGTTTTATTGTTATTGCGAATAGCCACGACGCCATCAAAATAGGCGAGAAAAATAAATTAAAAAGTCAGTCTCTACTCTCCTTTCAATTCTTATATTTTTATATGCAGTACCAGATATTATTCATCACTCGCAAATCTAAAAGTACCTTTTATTACTGCACGCTAAAATTGAAATTTATAAAATCAAGTGCTCAGAATTATTTATTTTATAAAGTACTAAATTATTTAAATTTATAAAGTACATTTGATTTTTAAAAGTTTATGTTCAATTATATATTAGGTACTTTGGTCTAATATTTAATTTACATCGTTAATATTCAACAACCAAAGAGTAGAAGTAAATTGGTACTTTCAGTTTTATCTCTAAAGTGGAAAATTTATTGTATTAAGAAATTTGATATTTAAAAGTTCACAGAGATCGATTACTCGCATTATCTTTCATTCTCTATCTTTATAATCTTCTTTACTATTTCTCTCACTTGCTCTCTTGTTTTCAATCGAGAACACACAGAGTTACAATTTTCTCTTTGTCAGTAAAACGAGGAACGAAACGACCTCGGAAATTCAAATATAGCTGTTGAATAAAGCGGTGATGAAGCCCGCCCAATCGAACCGTCAAATTCTAATCGTTTAAGAATTTTTTTTAAATATATAAAATAACATGTATATACTCATTTTATTATATTATATCTAATTGTTATTACTATTATTTTTAATAATACTCCTCAAAACCAATAAAATAATCTATGACATTAAAAATACATTTAACGCGATCAAAAATAACCGTTGAGTAATTTTCTTGTCAATCAATATTCTAAATATACTTTACACGCTGTAAAAAATATAATTCACCAAAGAAAACTATTAACTCATAAAACATAAATTTTATTGTAATTTTAATCAAGTTTTTTTTTTTTTTATTCAAGTAAACACATTTCTTCACGTTTCTCAGTGATAACGACATAAATAATTAAATAAATATTAATAAATATATACTTATACAAGTTCAACTATTTATTGTTTAATTTCCCAGGTCATTAGCACTTGAGTAAAGAAATAAAGTATATAATGCGTTCAATAAGACCAAGGTTAACAAAAATTTTTAAAAACCAACATAAAACTTTAGTCACACATCATACATTACTTATTTTATATCAAATAATTTGTCATTGAAAATAAAATAAAGTGACTAATTTAAACAGTGTAGAGTCTTAAGGTAGATTAGACAAATCCATAAATTCCAGACAATTTAAATAAATAAATAAATAAATAAAATAATCCATGTTTATAGTATTTCTTTACACATACTTTCGCACATCTATTATGCTCGTTAAATAATTCAAATATAATAAAGTACTTGACTAATAAGTATAAAAATATAACAATTTCCCGCGCACTATTCAATATTGTCACGTTTAATACTTATTATTATTCATATTTTATTGCAGAATAAAGAAAGCGTCGCCGGGGAAGTAATGAGAAACATGAACGACCGAAGAGTGAGTGAAAAATGAAAAGCAAAATATAAATTAGTGCACATAGACATTAACTTGTATACATATATATTTTTTAAACATTTTCTTGATCTGATATTTCTCCTTATTATTATTCTTGTCTATCTAAATTCCTTCATCCTCTTACACTCCTACTCCAGCTTGTTCTCCTCCTCATTCTATATGCCCACACTAAGCTCCTAAAATATATACCAGTAAGAAGAGTAAGTAAAGTATACGCAGATACATTTAAAACTTTAGCTTCTTCGTATGTTTATGTTGTACCGTTTTCTACTCGGAGCATTGCAAACACTTTGGTTGTAACCCGCGTGTACTAAAACCCGGGAAAAAATAATAAAGTAAGAAATTATAAAAAATAGAATAAAACTTTAGGTACCTGACAGTAATAATCATAATGTAATATAAATTTTAATAATAATAATAATAATAATAATAATTAATTGATAATAATAGCAATAAAAAAATCGATAATAATAACAAAAAAAAATTAATAATAATAATGACACTGAAGTTAGCAGACGTCTAAAAATTTTTGATTTTTTTTTTTTTTTTTAATTAAATTACAACTAAAAAGATATTTTAAAAAATTGCACTTATAATTTTTCAAGTTTCTAACAAGTGATATTTTTTTTTTAATTGTTTAATTAAAATTTTTTGGATAAAAAAATTACTAAAAATTTTTAAATGTCAGCTAACTTAATTTTCATTAATAATAACATAAATGAAGGCAGTGGTAGCAGTAGCAGAGCAGTATCATGCCATGAGGTTAGGGACATTGATCTATAAAGGAAATGTCTGAAGTTAAGACACTAATAATAAAAATGAAAAAATTCTTACTCGGCTAGTAACATCCGAAACTTCTCTCATGATAGCTTCAAAAGCAGCAGTTTCCTCAGCCTGCTTCTGGTTGAGGAGAGCAATCTTTTCACTGAATTTCCGTGGGTTCGCCATGATGGCCGGGCCACGGCACAAGTACACAACCTACACACAAACTTAATCACGACTATATCTCCACAGTACTTGCACAAAACACTTGATAATCACTTGTAAAAATTACTGTAAATAATACAAATTATTGCTAAAAATATAATAACTTTATAAAATAAAAAAAGAAATTAACAATAATAATAATTGGTAAATAATAAATCAGCATCCACCTGTCGAAAATCTAGGACAGACTCAAATAATCACGTCTTTCTATTTAAATATGTATTATTTCCACAGCTTCACCCGTTGTTTCTCGCTCTAAATCTTCCTCGCTTGCTCTCTCTCTCTCTCTCTCTCTTTTCTCGGATAGGAGCTTGCTCGGGTCTTTCACTTGCGGTCTGTTTGTTGCGTCCACAAGACCGCAAGCTTACGGAGAAGCTTGTCACACACAGTAGTAAAATACACAAGTTGTACAGCAACAATGCAGGTCTCAACACAACCGTGACTAGGATGTCCACGTCTTCTCATTTCATTCCCTTCCTCTTTTTTTCCCCACTGTACACGCGCGACACAAACACGACCTCTCCCCAGTCCCAGTACTCAAAAACTTCTTCTATTTCTACATGTACTTTTCCAAGTCAAGATTAGTATTTCTTTAAATCCAGACGCTTGTTTATCACTACCTGATCTGAAATAACCAAAATAATAATTATTAATATTTATGTTGTTATCATTATCAATATTATTATTATTATTATTATTATTATTATTATTATTATTATTATTATTATTTTTATTACTTGTTCTCTTAATCCAGTACAGTAGATATCTTACTTCACTATTCGTGTGTCAATAAAATTCAGATTATTGATAAAAAAATCTTTATCATAATGTTTTATTAAAAACGGTAAAAATTTTCAATAAATAAACATAAAACATTATTGAGGAACGTTTTCTTCCACCACCGCAAAAAGTACTTGAATCTAGAATATTAAAAATGAATGTCCGCTATTATTTATTTAATGTCTCTCGTTCTCCGTCTAAAATCGTGCTTTTGCTCGCTTCCACCACACACATGAGAGCGCGTTGCGGGGTTTTTTAACACACCACTGCCGCCTCGATTGACTGACGGTCACTGATACGCAAGATTATGCGACGCAGCGCGCCACGCGCATCGCGCAGAAACTCTGTTTTTCAGAGCCATTGGTCATACCATCGACATCGACAACGACGTACACTCAACTTCTCTGTTTTTACTTTTATTATTCTATTTATTTATCTGTTTTATTTAATTTATATATATTCTGAATTTTTATAAATTTATTTAGGTATATAAACCTGTATATATGCGTAAATATTTAAATTAATATTCACTTTTATATTTAATTATAACAGTAGATATTTTTTATTTATTTACTAACAAAATGACTTAACATTTTTTTATCAATGATACTTTTTGTTGTTGTTATTGTTATTATTCATTTATATATTGTTTTGTTTATGTAGGAGTGAAGGTGTGTTCCATGTCGGATGTTGAATATTATTATTGTTATTATTGCAATTGGCTCTGGGAATGTTGAATATTGACAATGATTTTTCACATTAGGTGGGAAAATAATAATGTAACCGAAAGAGGTTACTTTCTTATTTAACAAAGAACACCACTTAACGCGCGCGACGATGACAGACTAAGGAAACATGCCCAAGGTTTTTCTCAGCTGGTGCAAAGCGAATCGTTTTATCGATTGAGGTTTTTAAGAGCTACTGCGCATCGGCGGCAACTTTTTATTCTGTTTGAATCTTCTTCAATTATTTACTCCAAATTTTCCAGACCAGACTCCAGAATTTCAATAAAAATTATCCAATAATTAATCAATTATTTGTAAGTTTTTAAAGCTATTTCATAATTTAATTTCAAACTTCTGATTTTTGGTGTAATAATTAATAACATTTATTTTGTTGGTAGATTGAGGAAAATGTTTTTTAACAAAGTGACGTATGACTCAACGTTGACGACCTTGATAATATTTTATCCTTGTTTCAAACTGTTTGTTCATTTTACGTATACTTATCACAATGGAGTCTACATTTATGATTAGCAAGTGATATTAATTTTTTTTTTTTAAATAGATTGTTGTAATCTACTCTATTGTACTATAAAATATTAAAATATATTATTTATTTAAATATGTACAAGTTTGATGAAGAACTTGAGCTTGTCTGTTTGCCGGCTGTTATTTACAAACAACTTGTTGATGAATTAAATGATTACGGTTGGAATGTACTGGCTGAACAAGTGTCACAACAGCTTGGGTTCATTGGGTAATTCAAAATATATATTTATTTCATTTATTTTAATTATAAGCGAATCTGACAGTTTTTATAAATATATAGGTAAATTGTGTGTTAAAAATATTATTTTAAAATATATGACACTGAAGTTAGCAAACGTCTAAAAATTTTTGATTTTTTTTTTTTTAATTAAATTACAACCAAAAAAATAATTTATAAAAAATTACACTTACAGTTTTTCAAGTTTTTAACATATGATATATTTTTTTTTAATTGTTTAATTGAAATTTTTCCGATAAAAAATTTATAAAAATTTTGTAATGTCAGCTAACTTCATTTTCATTAAAATATAAATATTCAGAAAATTTTTTTCTGGCTCATTAAATTTTTAACTTATTATTTATGACATAATAAAAAAAATTTACCTGTGAAATGATAATGGCTTTATTGAATTTTAATCTCTTGAAAAAAATTTAATGGGCTACGTCATCAGTGTATATTATTTTATGCAAACTAATTATTGTTATCCAAGATAACTTGATAGTTTTTTTTATTTTTGACAATAATTATGAAGTCTTAAATATAGTTAGAGAATTTCCAATTAATTTATCAATTATTAAATTTAAATCTATTTTCAGTTGCAGTTGGATAAAATCATTAGATGATAAAATGAATTCAAAAAGTTCACCGGCTGAAAATTTACTAGATGAATTAAATATACGAATGTGTACAGTGAGGACCTTAGGTAAACTATTAGAAAATTGTAAATTATTACGAGCGCTTTCAATTATTCATGAACCACAAGCGTTAGTGATCACGAGGCAGCCTAATTCAAATGAAACTGATGAAGTAAGAGTAGCTTTAGGTAAATGTTTTAAATTAAAATGCCAAGCTACAGGATTACCACCGCCTGTTTATGCTTGGTATCACGAGAATCTTCCGCTGGAGGGTCAAAATAAAGATGAATTGAGTATTATTATCAATAGTACTGATCAAGAAGGAGAATACAAGTGCCAAGTGACCCAAATTAGTTCAGATGAGTTAATTATCGATCAATTAACGTCAAATCCTGTTTGTCTAAAAATAAAATCAACGCCTGTTGTTATTACTAAACAGCCATTACCGATGGTTGAAGTACATATTAATGGTACCCTTAGATTAAGTTGTTTAGTAGACAGTCATCCGGCTCCTAATTATCGCTGGTTTCATGACAATACTCACTTGAAGATGCAGAAATCACATGAACTGGTTATAGAAAAATTTGAAGCTCAACATGAAGGAAAATATTATTGTCATATTTTTAATGATATCAGTGAAGTTTATAGTGAAAAAAGTAATGTTATTGTAAGTATGATTATCTATATATTATTAAGAGAATAAGCAAAATTTTGTGTCCAGTATATTTATATGATAAAATAAGCCTTTTCATGGTTTCATATCATTCTTACCAATTGTCAATTTATGTTGATAAGTATTTAGGCTGCATTCGAAAATGCCCTATCTCTAGATACATGATTAAGAAATTACCTTGTATCTTGTGAAATATTGACATTTTTAAAGATATAAGCTCATCCCGATGTTACACTCATCGAGACCTTTCATTTGAGTACCCACATCAATTTTTCATATATTTATATATATTATATACATGTATATATGAAAAATATATCAAAATGCATGTGGGTACTTAAATGAAAGCTCTTGATGAGTGTAACATCGGGATGAGCTTATATCTTCAAAAACGTCAATATTTAAGAAAATACAGTGCAATTTAATAAAATTTATTATTTAATAAAGCAAAATTTTATTTATTTATAGTTCATATAGTGACTGCAAGGTTGTTAGTTTATAATTTAATTATATTTCAATGTCTCGTAATTGATAAATTAAATACAGGGCTCTTTTTTTATATAAATAGATCCAATTGCCTCGAGAAAAAGCAGTTGCCAAAATAGCATTGTTGATAGCAAATGAAAATTATTATTACCAGGAAAAATTAAAAACACCACAAAAAGATGTGGCTAAACTTGGGCAACTATTAGAACAAATTGGATTCCAAGTTATTTGTTTGTTAAATTTAACCACCAGCCAAATGAAAAATGCTATGAAAATTTTTAGCTCATTACTTTGTGATGGTGTCTATGGTAAATTAAAAACTTGTAATTATAATTAGTTATTATTTAATGTAATTTATTTATTTATAAAAATAGGTTTATTTTACTTTGCCGGTCATGGTTTTAAAATGCAGGAAAGTTACATGCTTGCAGTAGATGCTCCAAATAATTTTTTGAGAACGGATGCAATATGCGAGAGCGAATTACTTGCAATGATTCTTCCTAAAGATCCAGCACTGCTCGTTGTGATTCTCGACACGTGTCAAACAGTCCCTCCGAAGTAATAATAAAACTTTTACTTAGATAAAAAAAAAGTTTTAGTTTTAGTTACCAAAGTAGGCGTAATAGTTATTACTTGCTAAATTTATACATCCTCTGATTTATAGGGAATTAAATCCAGAAATTCATAGGGAGATCCCAAAAGTAAACGAGTATAGAAGTAACAAAAATCTGAGAAATTTAATTCAAGCGTACTCGACATCCAGTCATCGACCAAGTTATGAAAGATTGAGTACTAATTGTGGATTATATATTACTCATTTGAGTAAATTTATAACAAGAGACATACCAGTGCAAAAAGTATTTGAAGAAACTGGAAAATGTAAGATAATTTGTCGGTAATTAATATAATAATTAATTAAGAATTAAATTAATAAATTGATCTGTGAAATTTTTAATTGAACTTTTATATCACTGTTGAAATACTAATAGCTGTAATAATACGTTTTAAAAATATTTTTATGACAGCAATTGATATCTGGTTTGAAGGCAAAGAGAGAAATCAAATTCCAATGTTTGCTTTAACTGTTACTAAACCTTATCGGCTTATCGACGCTATTTACGCAGGTAATTTTAATCGTTTACGTCGAATCCTCAAATTATATATCTATCATAAATCTTCACAGTTATCATAATTAATTGTTCTATTTTTATTTATAGGAAAACCGTCAGACGTTATCAATTATTTAGAAACCATTACAACTTTTCCAAATAAAATAATTGATCTAAATTTTAAACAGAGTGGAATTAATTGTCAACTTGTCATTACACAATTAATGAAACCATATTTAAATTTTGTAAAGCTTACTCTCATTGGTCTAAACGATGATGTCACTGGAAATCTCTATCATTCCGTAAAATTAGAAAAAAATAATTTATATCGGTGTTCTCAAAAGAATGAATTCCACCTACATAATCCTCAGATTAATAAAGTGAGAATTATTCATGTTGATAAATTGATTTATAATTAATTAGTTGTTAACTATTACTCAATCATCATTATTTTAGGGGCCCATCGTTATATCTATTGAAAGATGCGGTTATTCCATTGGCGCTACATTATTTCAAGTTAGTGATCACATTCCACTATTATTACGCAACTTGTAATTATTATTATAAGTTGACTTATTAAATGTATGTATTAAATTACAAAAAAATGTTACCTTATAAATTAATAAATTATTTTTTTGTACAAATACATCGTATTAAATCTTGGTCGCTAAAATAATCATTTAACTGAAACAAATGATGATTTATTTTTTTCTTACATAATATTAATTTTTCTTTCAAGTAAGTCAGGATCACATAACTTTCATTACTGAAACAAAAACAATAAATAATTATTTGTACTTTATAATTGTCAATAGAAATACTTAACAATGTTTAAAAAATTATAATCAACAAAATACTCACCGCGGTCACCAACATTAGTTCATTATATTGATTAATTACCCAAGACGAAGATGATACATTTTCAGTATACTCTCTGCTGAATCTGCAGTTAACTAAGAAAATTTTTTCACGATATTCTGGCATAAGTCCCATTTGAAGTGGCGGTATTTCACCTCTTTTTTGCATTTCACCAAATCCTTTCAAGCAATAATATGTCATTGTTATTTCAACAAACAATCTTTCTCTACCTGAAACAATTAAAATCGATGAAAATTAATTTAGCAGATATTTTATGATTTTAAGAATTTTTTTAACAATTAAATTATGTCAAAGAAAATAAGAAAAAAAAAATTAACATTTAGAAAATTAAATAAATAAAAAATGCAATTTTTTAGAAATAATTTTTCGGAGTAAATTTTTTTATTCAATAAAATTAAAAAATTATCAAGTGACTGTTAACTTTAATATCATTTTAAATCGTAAAAAATAATATGAAAATTAAGTTAGCCGACATCTAAAAATTTTAATAACTTTTTTTTATTAAAAAAATTTATTACAAAAAAATAAAAAAAAAAATTTCATTTGTAAAAAACTTGAAAAACTATAAGTGCAATTTTTTAAAAATAGTTTTTAGTTATAATTTAATAAATAAAAAATAATCCAAAGATTGAATACGTCGGCTAACTTTACTATTATGAAAATAATTATAGATATATTTAATTTATCAATACACAGTAATTATATAAAAAAAAAAGACGCCATTCGGCCATACCCGAAATGGAAGGTAGATTTCATAGAATGAATTATCGTCTTGTCTCAATAACTTTTGTTTAACATGGATAGGTTGTATTACACATTGCCTGAAAATGGTTCAATTGAACTCTTAACTTCAATAAAATAACTAATAATGGTCAAAAAGTTAACATTATTTACGTCAAATAAGAAGTGTTTTTATGAGTTTTTGAGTAAATTTATCAAAAATGAGCTATCTTTTTGCTATTAAAAGTTATACATAAATGAAGTCACCAAAAACGTAATTTCTCCTATTTTGATCATTTTGAAGAGCTACTATTTCTGAACTAATCGAAGGATTTCGCTCATTTTAAGGCTCATGCAAGCTAATTGTCAAATGAATTTGTATACTAAATTTCATTGGGAATTTAGACGATTTCTGTTACGAATTCTCGACAGAATAACATTCATAAGTCGCCTGCACTACACATTGCCTAAAAATGGTTCAGTCAAACTCTTAACCTTGATANATCAAACTCTTAACCTTGATAAAATAATTAAAAATGGTCAAAATGTCAATGTTATATACGTCAAATTAAAGGCAATTTTATGAGCTTTTACATGAATTCATCAAAAATTAGCCATCTCTTTTCAACCAAAAGTTATACATTAATGAAGTCACCGAAAACGTGATTTTCACTATTTTGATAATTTTGAAGAGCTGCCATTTCTAAACTTATCGATGGATTTCGCTCATCTTCGAACTCATTCAAGGTTATTATCCAAAGAATATGTGTAACAAATTTCATCTAGATCCGACAAGAACTGTAGACACAATCGCGGCAACATCCCGCGTTATATTACATATGTATATATATATATAAATTTTTTAACTAACGTTATTTTTGAGCTTCACTCGACTAGTTAAGTGATATTACGACAAAATTTCGAGTGAATTCCGACATGAGGACCAATGCAATAGATTGATTTCTATGAAATCTACCTAAAAATTGTTAAAACAGCTAACTAATTTAAAAAAATAAAATTACCTTCGTCTCCTTTAGATACAATGTCAATTGTGTATGGAAACATGCCATAAATTTCCTCTTTTTTGACAGGAATTAACTGTTTCTGTGCTTCTGATAACGTTGATATTTTATACCTTAACTTTTGAATAACATCTGGAGTGACTAAACCTTGGAGACTATCGTAATCTTCTGCAGCAAGTGTATGTGATACCATTTCAACAGCCTTAAACAATTATTATTTTTATTAAAAACTATTCAAAATAATAATTAATGTAAATAAAACATACTTGCTTGGATCCATCAGCGAATTCGTGCATATCAAATTCTTTATCAATTTGAGATTGCATTACAAAATGAAGGTTGTAAGAACTTTTTATGGATTTAAAAAAACTAGGCATCAATATCAGTGGATCATCAGTCAATGCTGAAAGTCGAACTGGTGGATTTAATTCCTCATTTGGCAGAGCACTGTAAAATCTCTTTTCTCCACAATTCGTTGTTTTTATTACAGAATCAATCATTCTTTTTTCTTGTAAACATGAGAAATTAGGTAATTTATTGCTTTCTAATTTTTTTATTTTATTTGCAGCAAGCACCCCGTAATATCGAAGTCGTGGATTATTACAAACATTTTTACAAATATTATTAAGCAACATTGCTATATAAACAATAATAAATTCAAAACTTTAATAACAAAACGAATCTTTAGTTTGCATCACACTACACCTGACTTTATTGCTCTAATGACCTAACCTAAAAAAATAAAAATAAATTACTCAGTTATTGAGAAAAACTCATCTCACAAAATTTATTTTTGCTGATTTTTAAATAATTTACTTGATAAGTTTTGTAGGTATTCATATTGTTTAAAAAGTAAATTTAATAAAAAATGAATCTTAGATTTAAAATACCGGTACTTTAAAATTATGGCGGGATTTTTTGAATTATAAAAAATTTTTTTTTCTACCTTAATTTTTAAATAAAAGATAATAATTGTGATTTATTGATAATTAATAAGAGGTAATTAAAAAAATAGAAACAAAAATTATTTTCTAGAACAATATTTATTTTAATTTCCATAAATTGATTATTTTTAAATCAATAACAGTGTGATGTACAGAAAAAAGCGATCACATTGTAAATTTTACACAGTAAATAATATAAAAAAAAATTATATTTTTGTTCAACGTTGATATAAATAATAGTACTTTTAGTTATAAAAAAATCTTAAACGAATTTAAATATCAAACTCAACGTTAGTTATAACAATTTGAATAATTTATATTAATAATAGAGGCACATTTCTCACAAGCATAACAAATCCAATGTAAATAAATTTCGAATTATCATAGAATACAGTTGATTACTTTTAAATCAAATATACATCTCTTATAAAGTTAATATGATAAGAAATCACAAAAATCACTCAAACATATATATATCTATATATATATATATAAGTGCAATAAAGCTATTTGCAATCTCAGAAAATATCGAAACCTATAGTAAACAATAAAACATTATATTTTGTACAATTATTACGATAATCCCTAAGTTATAATTCCGTTTTTAGCATTGAATTATTAATTTCAGCTATTTCATTTTTTTTACACACGCTTTGTTCACTTTATTTGTTTCAATAACTGAAAAAAAAAAAAAAGACGTTATGATAATTAGCAGTTGTTTTAGCATACCGATAACTTTTTAACGCAAATTACTTTAAAAATTTTCATGCGTCATAGCCAAAAAATATATATTTATATATTTCTAATAATATATATAAAATAAAACTTAATTGTAACAACTAAATCGATAATTCGATTACACAATAAACTTTCCTTTAAATAATTAATATCAAGTCATGGATTTTTTTTTTTCACCGCCTTATCTATAATTAGCAAAACTTGACATTAAGATAATTGTCATAAAGTAATAATTATATCGAGTCATTATCGTTAATATCATAGTCGTTAATAAATAGGAGCTTCATCAGCAGAAGCGGAAATATCTTCGTCGCTCCACTCGCTGATACCAAAATTCACTGGCCCGTGGAAGCTTTGAGATCTCAGTACACTGTAATTAAAAATAAATTAGGATGTTAATAGAAAATAAAAACTAAATAATTCTCAGTAATAATAATAAAAAGAAAAATAAATAAAACAAGTATCACAAAACATGACCCAGTTAGGTTGTTTATACAATTAAACAAAAGCCCGTTATCAACATCAATTAATCTGTAATTTATTTATATAGTCAATTATATTTTACTTTAGCATTTATAATAATAAATGATTGCATAAAGCATATTGTTTCGTTATTATAAAATAATATATAATTATACGAAACACTGAATAACAAATTGTGCTGTGAAGCAATACACGTTTCTCTTGCTGCAGATAATGTTATTTATATATCACAAAAAATAAAGCAGAGAAATGATATAGAATAAAAAAAATTTTCACTCTTTAATAAGGATTAAATAAATAATGACTGCGTGTATGTGCGTACTTTTAAATACAATTCATACCACTTTCTCGTATTGCTGTAGACTATTATCGATCGCTAAGATTCCTACCAACAGTTGTTTAATTTTTTATTTCAATTAAATAAAATAATAATAACAATATTATTAAATAAAGTAAATAATAATTTACCTGGAAGACTCAGAACTAAGATTTTTTTTAGCTAATTCAGCTTTCCGCTTGCCTTCCATCGCAGCTTTCATTGGATCATAACTCTTCCGCCTCTTCCAATTTTGCATTTCCTGTTCTCTGGTGATAGACTGGCTCTGTTTTTTCACGTCTTTAGGTTTAGCTTTTGGTCCAGTTGTTGATCCCTTGGTACGCATACTGAATCTCCCGGAATCTGTGCGAGCAATACTAGCGGTTTCAGCTCTGGGTTTTGAATTAACTACAGGAGTTCGTGTTTTAATCGGCGCGCTCTTAACTTCCTGGCTTTCTCGTGATTTTCTCAGGCCATACGATCGGTTGAATTTCGATCCGACAGGATGCGGGTCATCGCTGCTCTCAGTGTCACTAACTTGATGAGATATTTTATTCGTTTGTCTCAAACTTTGGCTGGTGTCCTCATCACTTTCGCCTCCAGAATCAACTGGCGCTGGCTGATAGACAGTGATCCTTGCAGACATAGCAGACATGACATTTTGCGTCGTCTGAAGATAAGATGACGTATCTAAATCACTGTCACTGTCGCGAGGACTGCACGGTGGAGGTATCTGAATTATTTCTTTTTGCTCGACAAAATTTAATTCATTATCAGACCAGTCATCAGCCAGAGAAAGCGCTCCATGTGTGCCATGAAAGCTCGCTGAGCGTAAAACTGAATTATCCCGACTGTTATTGCCGTCTTCTGTGCTGTGATGTTTTCTTGAAATGTCCAATTTTTTTTTACCCTCTGCTGCAGCTTTCATCGGATCATAATTTTTTCTACGTTTCCAATTTTGAAATTCAACTTCTTTTGAAGTTAACGTTGAATTACTGCGACCTGAATTTTTCGCATCTTTGCCGCCTTTAACACCGGAATTAGGCCGTGAAGTTGATGCACTAGATGTACTTTTCTGGCCACGCATACTGTACCTACCACCCTCATTTCTAGACAACGAGGGAACACGAGGACGTGTCTCAGGTTTTTTATAATTATCTTTATTATTGGCACCAACACTGCTCGTCCGCGCACGATGATGACTTGATGATTGACGTGCAGAAGACGGGGCGGATTTTATTTCCATTTGAGCTTTCCGTCGTCGTTCTTCTGGAGTCGTGTTGGGTGTCGTGTCTGAATCACAAGTAACACGTGCTCTACGAATACTGAATGCGCGATTTAATTTAATACCAGATGATATCGGCGGAGCTGGTATGTTGTGCGTTTCTCCAGCTTCACTGCTGCTATCTGACACAACATGCTTCGTTTTAGACAATCGGTCTCCCTGATCATTGAAGCTGCTGCGACGTGCTAACATATTTTTAGTTTTTGCAATGCGGATACTTGTATTGCTGGAAGAACGCTGAATACCCACAGAATTACGCTGATAAATACTATTGCTATTGAGCACTGAGAGCTCCTTGATCCCCGGTGACGTGTCTTCTCGGTAATTTGACGTACTATTTGATTTTCTCAGCATATAAGGACTATTCTCAACACACGTAAAGTAACCAACATTTTTGGCTTGTGAATTTGATTTAACAAGCAATTGTTTAGGTCTTTCAAAGCTCGGTGAGTTTAATATTTTAGTAGTAATTGTTTTGTGTCCAAGTATCGGACTATTTGTTAATTTAGGAGTTGTAGAGTTATTAGTACGAAGACGATTTAAAATTGGACTGTTTGTATGCTTAAAATTATCATCAGTTGTATAATTCTTAAGACTACTGCGTCGTGATGAATTTGATTCAGCAGTATCAGACTTGCGATCTAAAGAATTACCGCGTTCAAGATGAAGACGAGCTAGAACGTGGGACGGACTCTTTGGCACATCAAGAATTTCTTCTTTTTTCTTAATCTCAGGATACTTTCTCATGCTACGTCGACAGTCATTGTGATTAACTCGCTTGAACAGCGATTCGGACAGGCTGCCACGACGTACAAGAGCGCTGTGCGTTGGAGTGCGTTGAGAACTATGAGGCGGAGTGTTGTAACTGTTGCTGGTGTCCTCATCAGACTCTCCGCCAGAATCAATCAGCGTATGTTGATTAGAATTTGGCACTGAAGTTATTCTATCACGCATTTGTTGAATTTCAGCGTCCAAACTGCTGTCACTCTGCTCATAACGGGTTCTCGAAGCCCGTTGGGTTCGCGAGTAAATCGGGGATGGAATTTTAGACGGACTCATTGGCGGTGTGCGTCCAGTTGTGCCACCGATCACAGGCGGTAGTGAATTGTGTTCGGCAACTTGGGTTGCCCACTCGGTAATCCATGTATTAGTATCACGAGAGCTTCGCATCTTAAAATGATGGACGTACAATTCATTGCTCTCTTCCTCAGTCAGTACCCCGACACTGAAGGTTTTATCGATATCCATTCTTGCTTTTTCTTCGTCTGTATAATCCTTATGAATTGTATAAGTCCCGGCTTCACTTACTGTACCATCAGATCCAGCGTCGACAGTACTGACATTAAAAACTTCCAAGTTTGTTTGATCATAATCACCACTGGATTCTCCAGTGTAACTAACACTCATCATCTGCACGTTTGTTTGTCTACTACTGCTGCTAGCGAATTCATTGGATGGACAATTGTCGGACATATAGCTAGTATTTGAAAGCTTTTCGACAGTGTCTAAACTCGATTTTTCGACTTCTTCACCGTAGTCATGATTTATCTCAATATACTCGATATTTTTAGTGTACTTTTTTTCCGGCGAATATTGCACACGATTTAATTCCTCTTCAACATTACTCTGCATTTTACTCAAGTCATTCATCGTTGCCGAGTACGTTATTTCATACACACAATTATTCGTCGACTCCTCGTGGTACGATCTACGTTTTGTGTCGCCGTTTGTGTTCTCAGTCATCGATCTCGACATTAAATCAGACTTTTTAGTAGCACCTTTAGTATTTTTTAAACCTGCAAATACAATAAATAATTTAATAATTTAATTATATTATGTAATTTATATTTTTAAATGTGATAGCCGAACAATTTTATATGGAAATTCATTGACGAAGCTTTAAAATCAAGTCTCATGAAGGTGATTCACAAGAAAATACCTGCAGAATAATAATGAACGCGCTCCTTATGTACCTGCTTATGTATTTTAGTCGCCAATGTAGCCGCTAAGTCAAGATGACTTCACTATGACTCATCTGCCGACCATACCGACCATTCAAATAATTTTTCCATCCATATAATTTCGTTCCAGACTAACCACTTGTTTATTTATTTATACTAACTGTTTTATTTAAATAAAATCTTTACCTAATTCTTTTAATTTTTGTGACAATCTATCAGCTTTTCTTTTAGTATCATCTTCACTGCTAAAATATCCTTCTGAATGGATACTCACTGGTTTATGTTTTTGTAGACAATTTGGCGACGAATCAGCAACAGGTTTAGATTTAATCTCAATCTATAAAAAAATAAAATAAATAAAAAAAAAAAATCTAACTAAGAAAAAATAATTATGCATATGTATATTAAATTAAAAATAAATTTAGCTTACTTTAGATGTTGAAAGATTTCGTTTATGCCTGGCATTATATCGTTGAAATAAATTTTGATATTTAGCAGAGTCAACTTCTTTGTTGCCACCAAAGTCAATGGTAAAAGCTAACGAACTTGGACTTTTAACAGTTTTTACAGAATCTGTTTCTTTTTCAAGTGAATCTCTTTCAATTCTCGACTCGCCATTATTGACGTCTTCAATTTTGATCTCTCGATCTTCCGGCTGCTGGTTGGAGTGACACTTGGCAAGCAGAGACTTTGACGTGTCTTGGACCACCTCCAAATTAGCAATGCCATTGTCATGCCCAGTGTTGGTGATTTGTGCCGTTAAAACAGGTGTATCATCATTAAACTCCTGATGACCCTCGTTCGTAATCTCCATACCTATTGTAACTATAAAACATTCCAATAGCTTTTACCATAAAACTAAATCCTTCTTTTTCAAAAAATTAAATGGGCTACTTATGTCAATGTAAACTCTCGACTGTCTTAGATCAAATACCAAGTGTCCTCACTTGTTCCATGCGTTTCACTTTACAACGGACACAAAACTTGGAACCTATTGAGCAACCAGACATTGGGAATAGATTTTTTGTTTATTTAAATACTTTGTGACAATAAAAATAAACGTTCGAATTTATTGCAACACTCAACACTGTGTAGACAAACAGGTGCAGTGATTATTGTTAGCGGTACACAAAACGTGTAAGGGCGACCCCGCACTTGTCAAAGGTGTCAACACTCGATTTCTCTACCTCGCTACTTCTACTTCTCTCTCAACTTTTCTTTTCCGCATTTTACATATATTAATTTAAGCTTTAGGCCTTCAGCTCCATTTTCAATCAACGATCACCATGTACGCATCTGGCCTTTCTTTTGTTTGAATTAAATTTTTCTGTAAAAAAATGTTCAATGTCTGATGGAATTTAATTTTAAAAAAAATCATAATCTAAAACCAAAAAATATATAAATTTAATCAAAAATTTTTAAATAAAATAGTAATTAAATTTTTTAAAATTACTTGTAAAATCATTTAATAATTATTGACAAATTTATCACAGGTATATATTTTTTAATTGCTTGGTGAATCAAACTGTAGAACTACTATACCAGCTCTACAAGGCGTGTACGTGCTTTCTTTTTATATACCTATATATTTTTTATATACTTGGAAAAAGGATTTAATAATTTTCCCAGTCAGTGTATGTCAAAAACGTTGCCGGCTGAAAATTATCAACATTTTTACAGTAAATTTATAGTACTTTTAATAAAGTACCAAGGTAATAATTTTTTATTAAAGAGTAATTATTTTTAAAATAATGGAGGAAGATCTCATCCAGAGTTTTCAAGAAGTTGGGTAAGAGGTTATTTATTAAATTTTTTTAAATAAAATTTTTTACTTACTAAATGATCCAACAACTTCGGCTTGTAGGTATAAAGGACCGCTGATTGATGTAGAAAAATTGAGACAAGCATTGGATAAAGGTGCAAAGTCGGTGGATTTCACGGGACTCGTGTCTTGGTTAACTAAACAACTGGCTTCATTTGGGAATTTAGATGAAGATGTGCAGCCGACAGCATCTCCAGAAGATTCTAGTACATTTTTACTGGAGTTGAGTTCATTTTTAAAAGAAATTGGATGTGTTAACTCGCAATTAACTTCAGGAAATGTTAATCAAAGACTGGCTACTAAGCAAGAGAGGATTTTGCTGTTGGAGTTTCTGGTATTCGAGTTGATGGCGAGTAAAATAAATTATGAAAAAAATCCTGATACTAACAAAATGCAGCTGACTATTGTAATTATACCAATTATTTTTTTTATTTAATATAATTAAGAAGCTTTAAAATTTTAGAGAATTTTTTTTATTAATTAATGAAATTGGAAACACCAAATATTCAGAAGTTCTTATGGTTATACTTACAATTTTTTTCATTAAATATTATGACATTAAAGTCAGCTGTCACTTTTTAATTTTTTTTAATAAATAAATTTACTCCAAAAAATGATTTTTAAAAAATTGCATTTACAATATTTTTAAATTTGTACATGTCAATTTTTTGTTTTCATTTTTTTTCCACAGTTTATCTGTTAAAAAAAAATTCTAAAAATTATTATTTGCTAAATTGATTCTCATTAAATATTGTCGTACGATATAGAGCTTCTTAATTGTAAATTTAAAAATTATATTTAGAATTTATTAATGAAATATTATTTTTTAGTATGAAAGTGATACGGCAAAAGCTTTGAAAAATATGATGATAGCTTTGCAATTCGGCAAGCCACCAGATAATATATCAATTGATCAATTGTTTAAAAAACTTGAAGAAAAATTGAAGATTGTCATGTCTTCAGCGCCAACTGATCTTCGCGGTAAGCCTTTGATAATAGGAGAGTTGTCAAAATCTCAATGGGAAAAATTAGATCAACTTCAAAAAGACATGGATGAAGAGTATACAATAAGAAGAGAGTTATTGCTCAAACGATTGGATGTAACCATTCGATCATTTTTGGTAAAATTAATTAAAAAATAATATATTACTTAAAAATTTTTCTAAACTGATAGCTAATTTTTAATATTTACTCGTATTTTAGTGGTCAGACAGAATTAAAAAAAAAGAAGACCAAGTAAACGATTGCTATCGTGAAAAGAGAAAAGTATTGAAAACTGAGCCTAATGTAACAATTTCTGAGTTGCTTGCTGCTAGAGATGATGTTGCGATTATTGAAAAAACAAGCAACGCTTCTGTGAGAAAAAATACCAGGAGCGATGTAACTAAAGTTATTATTGGAGATGTACCGGATAGAGGAGGACGAACTAGCGAACAAGCACCTCCGCCACCGGAGATGCCTTCGTGGCAAAAGGATCGTGTTCAAGGTCCTGATAGCGGTAGAGGAGGAAGAGGTGGACGTGGTGGCAGAGGAGGCGGTGGTGGTCAACGTGGATTTGGTGACAGAGGAGGTGGCGGAGGTGGTGGACGAGGAGGATACAATAAGGATACCAGTACTAACTTTGGTCAAAACAGAGACTGGCAGAATTCATCGCAAAATACTGGTGGGTCTTATCAAGACAATAAAGGCGGAAATTATCAGAGCGGAGGTTATCAAGGTGGTGGGTATCAAAGAGGAGGCGGTGGTGGATCTAATTATCAGAGTAATAAATCTGCAGACTATCAGCAAAGAGGCGGTGGAAGTTCGAGCGGAGGAAGTGAAGCATTTTATCAAGACAATCGAGGTGCCGGAGGTGGATACCAAGATAACAGAAACAGTGGAGCTTATTTTCAGGATAATAGGGGTGGAGATTATCAACAAGGTGGTGGTGGTGGTGGTGGTGGTGGTAGTGGTCGAGATAATAATAATAGTGGTTATAATCGAGGCCGTGGTGGAAGAGTTCAAGGTGGATGGTCTCAAGGAGGAGGAGGTGGATACAACCGTGGTGGAAACCGATCTCATTACTGAGATGTTAAACAATGTACTCGAGCTTACGAATGAATTTTGTTTTTGCAATACGTAAAAATTGCTATAATAAAGACTTTAACTCTTTAGAATAGATCTTCACATTTTAAAAAAGTGTGAAAAATTTAGAAAATTTTTCGGTATATAATAAATTTGATAAATTTTCTGGGATACGTAATATTTAATTAGTTTTATTAAATTAAAAATTACCAAAAATATTTTTTCTAAATTATGATTTTTTTTTTTTTGTTAACAATTTTTGGTTTTGTACCACGATAAATTTTTTTGTTTTATTTTATCTAAACTTATATTTAAGTTTCATTGCAGATGGAAGACTGTAATTAAATGAATCAATTTGTGTACATAATGATATATTTTATAATTTATTAGTTTAAAATATCAACTAATGCATAATAAATTGAAAATAAACAATTTATAAAATATAAGAAACTATTTTTATTTTTCAACATTTTATAAAGTTCTATAAGAGTAATTATTAATTATTTATTTGGAACAAAAATACGATTTAATACTTTTTTTCTTTTTATTAGATTTCGGAGTGCTTCCAGCGTCTCGATTTCGTTTATTAGCAGAACTTGTTCCACTATTCGATGGTTGATTAATATTTTTTTGTAAATTATGTGCGACATGATAATCACAGTGTTCGAGATACTTTTCATTTAAAATCATTTGATTACATTCACTACAACGTATCATCATTGAAGTATCATTATTATTTTTAACAACAAATTTATTAATATTACTTTGATTTTTTTCACATGATTTATTATTACTATTACTTGACTTTGATTTAACATACTTTTTCCCATTTTTAACTTTATTTTGCGGAGATTTAATACTAACAGGTTTTAATTTTTCTTCATTTTTAATTTTATCTTGTGAAGACTTAACATTGTCAGGAACTTTATTGTCAGATTTTAAATAAACTCTAGCTGCTTGTTGCAGTTCAGATGGTAGCAATTCAACTACCGCAGGGTCAATATTTTCAAGATCAGGAAAAATTTCTCGCAGCTTAACATTGATTCTACTTTCAACGACGGTATCAACATAATTTTCTTCTAAAGATACTTTTTCAATCCCTTCAACATCACAATCTTCAGAATCAAAATTACCAAGATCTAAATTCTCGTCAGACTCTTGCCTAAAATCACTATTTGCCTGCTGCGACTGTTTCTGGATTGTCTTGAAATAATTAACAAAGCTTCCATCATTCTGAGCATCGATAAACTTACCACCAGCGATACTTAGAGCTACAATCGGCTTGTCAATTGACTTGGAGATGATACTTAAAGCCTGACTGGCAATCCTATTAGCTTTGTAACCAGCCAAGGGCAATGTCCGCGACTGGGAAATGCTTTTTCCATTCTGATAATATTGATAACTAATCGTTAAGTTCGAAGCTCGTCGATGATTCTCTTCATAGTCTTGCTCCAGACGATTACAGACATCATCCGTCAATGAGTCGACCCACTGCTTCAACTGAAAAAAATTACATACTCAGTAAATTCAACAATAATAAACTAATATTGATAATTAATTTAAAAAAAATCTTACAGAATCCAAATCAGTGATAGCTTGTTTGACTGAAAAATTTTTACTCGCTCCAATAGACTTGCAAATCAATCTCGGCGTGACTGGTTCATGATCAATTCCTCTTGCAATATTGTACAATTTAATTCCAGTCTTCTGGTCAAAATGTTTTTGCAAATCTTGCAGAGAAAATTTCAGCAAGTCAGCCATCACGTTACAACCCAATGATTCAACGACATCCTTTCCAACTTTACCACCCAGACTACGGACTTTATTAATCGGTAACGATGAAAACAACCTCGGGACACTAGTAGCCGGTAGGATTGTCTGCTTATTCGGTTTGTGAAGCCCACAAGCCAGCTTGGCTAGGACTTTATTGTATGAAATACCTGCGGAACATCTAAACTGGCACTTGTTAAAAATTTCAGTTCGAAGTTCTTCGACAATCATCCCTGCGACTGCTAGCTTTCGAGCTTGAATATCACCGAGATCATCGAAAGACTCTCTGACCCAAGTGTCCAATCCGTCTTTTCGCTTCTCTTCATCATTGTCATCTCCACAGTAGCCTACAACAAATGTATTATTCAATTTAGAAATAACTTCCTTCGACGAACAAGTAATCGAGTCAATTTTATCCTCTACAAGACTTGTAATATCCAAATAAGCTTCATCAACGCTAGCACGTTCAATTACTGGACAATGATCCTTAAGCACGTCAATAACCTCTTGACCAGCGGCGCGATACTTGGAAACATCTCCTTTACCTCGTAATATAGGAACACTTATCAATTCTAATTCTGGACATTGTTCCTTGGCTTTGTTGCCGCTGACAAACCTGGAGACTCCTAGGGCTTTAGCTTCATAGTTTACTGCTAATACCAGGTTAAACTGCGTCACAACCAGCGGCTTACCTTTAAATTCAGGGTGTTCTCTCGTTTCAACTTGACAAAAAAAACAATCCATGTCTATCAATGCTATTATTCTGTCTTCTGAAGTAGCCATTGTTGTAATAAATATTTTTATATTTTAATATTGTTGTATTTGTACACATAGAGTCTTTGTTTAATAATACAGCGTGATTTAACCATGCCGCCATTTCCAAACACTTGTCACTTTCATAATAATAATGCCAATCTTTAAAAAAAAAAAAATAAACCAGTAATTATTTTTTCATCATTAAAATAATTAGGAAAAAATTTTCATTAAAAAAATTCCACACTTAAAAATTTTTAAAAATTACAAGTGTAAATTTTTTCATGAAAATTAATTTAGCATATATTTAATAATTTTATAACAAATAAATTATGGCAAAAAAAATTAGAAATAAAAATTGACATGTAGAAATTTTAAAAAATGAAAAGTGCAATTTTTTAAAAATAATTTTTTAGAACAAATTTTTTTTTAAATAAAATAAAATTTTGAAGTGACTGCTAACTTTAATTTCATAATTTTTTTTTAAATATGTTTTTTATCGTTGACCCTATAATAAAAATTTAAAAAATTGACAGATATATCTGTTAACTTCAGTATTATTTTAATAAGTATTTTTTTTTTAATTACTATTAATTGTTTAAAATGTATACTAGGTATACTAAAAATAGCAAATACGTAATTTTTTGGTTTTTTTTTATAAAAAAAGAATTTTTAAATTTATAAAAAAATTCTTTGCATGCATACTTCTTAACTATTCTTTAATTGTCTTATTTTAAAAAGTTATTGGATGTCTTCTATATATTTTTTTAGTAACTTATATAAATTTAATTTTTTTAAGAAGTATTATAATTTCAAAAAATAAAAGATGTTTGCTTATAATAAAGATTATCAACAAGTATAAATGTATTGGTTTTTAAAGTCAAAACTACCAATATAATAAAAGAGTTAAAAGTGTGACGCTCTATTGTTTTCCAACATGTTGGTAATGAAATAACAAACTTCCATAATACGAAAGTTTGTAAGAAAACTTATTGCATGTAAGTATATCGGTGTAATTATTTCAATTTTTAAATTACAATGAATGATGAGAAGAATCAAGCAATGGAAATTGAAGATCTAACTATTGAAAAATATGAATGGGGGAATAAAATATTGACAGTACGTGAAAATAAAATTATTCATAAAAAATTACAGAGCGGTATGTACTAAGTCAACTAATTATTTTTTTTGTTAAAAATTAAAATTAAAAATATTTACTTAGATTATTAATAAATATATTGTTTATAGATCCTGATTTTGCGTCGAGATATTTTTCAAAATTCGTCGTTCCAGAAAATGACAATAATGAAGAATCAAAAATTTCTTCGGAAGAAGGTTTTAATTTATCATATTGTTTATCACTTTTTTTTTTTTTTAATTCATGTATTTGTTTCATTATTTTATGATATTTATAGAATTTTGTGAAGACCTTGTTTGGAGTTATGATGCAGTGAAGCTATTAGTCAATGAATATCAAAATCGTCTCGATCGATTTAACAACCCGAAAATTAAAAACTCCCGGTTGTGGAAGGAAATTGCTGAGGTATTTAGAAAACAAAATAAACCTTATCCAATACGAGCTATAAGTCGAAAATTTTTCAATATGAAGACAACTTATTATAAAATAACAAAAAATAAACGGAGAATTAAAGTTGGACGCAGACCATGGCCGTGGATCAAAGCGATGGAAGAGATTTTAAAAAAAGATAATTCTGTCAATTTAACTAATAATGAAATTACAGTTGCTGAAAAAAGTGACAATAATAATGAAAATATAACAATAGTTGAATCTACGGTGGAACCAAATAATTTATCAAGCAATAACCCCACTGATCCAATTGAATCGACAAATAATTCTAGTAGTGAAGGGAATGCTGAAAACAAAGATGACTGGGAGATGATTGATGACACATCAAACTTCTCATCATCTTTGGGAATTTCTTCAGACCATGATTTTAATTCAAGCAACAGCCAAAATTTACCAAAAGATACTTCAGACTATAGAACAAAAATGATTGATTTAAAGACAGAAGAAGTTCAAATTTTAAAACTTATTCATAAAGACGTAGACGACGGTCATTATTCCAAAATGGAAATTGTTAGTGAGCTGACTACAGCTATCAAGGAACATAATGTTATTCTTAAAGAACTTATAGATGTCTTAAAAGAACGACTTCTTAATAAGTAATTGTGTACTTTATTTTTTTTTATTAATTACGATTCATTTTTATATCCAGTAACAATATTTTTGCTTGAAAGATTAGTCTTATTATCTTTTAAATAAGTTCAATTTCCATATGATAAGTCATTTGACTAAAAATACTAGTCAGTAATTAAATATAATGAATTTAATATCTAAGCATCTATTTGATATTTATAAAAAATTAAATATAAACTATATTTTATACTACGACAGTCAAATAAAAGAAAAAATAAATCTGGAAGAATTTCACCCATAAAATTTTTGCTTATTTATTAATGTTTAATTTATTGTAATAAAAATTTTCTTCTTAATAATTTACAAAGTAGACATCAAACTGTACATCAGGCACATTATCACAGTGTAATTCAAATATTTTAGTAATTGAATTTTACTTTACAGTTATTAAGTGAAAAATGATTGTATATTCCGTGGTTTTTTGTTCGATTTAAAACTATTTAAATTCATTTTTCTCTTAGCAGTCGGAGTTCCTGTGTCACTATCACTAGGTGTTTCACTGACAACAGCGGTGACACTCGTTGGTTGATTGATAGCCAGATGTAAGTTTTTAGCCATATGAAAATCAGAGTGTTCTGCAAACTTATCTTCTTTAATCATTTGATTACACTCGGGACATAATTTCATAGTTGAATCATTACCAGCAGAATTTTTAGTGAGAAAATTATAAATCAAATTGTCTTTTTTTGGTTTTTCTGGTTTACTTTTCTGTCCTTTTGTTTTGCTCGTTGAATTTTTAGTATTATTTTTTTTCGATTTTGGAGAAATATCAACAGATCTTTTCTTTTGTAAATATTTATTAGCCGCTCTTTGTAATTCAATAGGTAGCAATTGCATTACAGATCGATCAATGTTGTCAAGATCTGGAAATATTTCTTTTAATTTTATTAAATCTTCATTACTATTCGTTTTTTTAATTTCTCCGACATTCTTCTGGTCTACACATACTAGTTCGCTAATCCTAGAAGTATCTTGAGGTTGTGATTCCGCAAAAATATCCGGTGATTCATAGTCACTCGGTAAATCTTCAGTATTTACTTTTCTTTCTTCAGGTATTGATTGATCTTCATTATCATTAATAGACTTATGATTACCAGAACTACCTTCATTAGACTCTTCTAACATTTTAAACGTCGACGCAGAAGGTTTTGAATCAAAAGAACTTTTTGAACTTTTCAAAATATTCATGAAAAAAGAATTTTTGAAATTTTCTCCATTCAACGTTTTATTTAAGTTCAAACTTTTTGGACTACCGAGTTTACTTTTCAAAGTACTCGGCGGTGTATTAAAAATTTTACTTTCAGTTTTTTTACAAGAATCTTTTACTTGACTAATTTTCAGCTTTTCTTCGCAAATTTTTTCCAATTTATCCGATGGAATATCGTCGACGTCATCATCAATTTTATTTTCCCTATCATTTTCATTATTAGCACCATGTTTACTTATACAATTAGAATTAGACTCAACTGGCTCAGCAGTAACGACAGGTTCTGTCTTAGCAGCAACAATTTCAGTTTTAGTAGCGACAGTAGGTTTGCTGGGAGCCTTGAAAAAATTTTTAAAACTCTCACTGCCTTTAATAGGCACGAATTTCGCAGCAGACATACTAATTAAAGCAATAGGCTTCTGTAGAGCTTTTGAAATAACGTCCACACAAATACTAGCTATTTTCTCGGCTTTATAAGAAGGTAGTGAGCACACTTTCGACTGTGCTATAATTTTTCGATCCTGATAATAATGATAGCTAATTGTAACCGAGGTAGCACGTCGTTGGTTCTCTTCTAAATCTTGTTCAAGACGATCTGACAACTCCAATGACAACTCTCGAGCCCAAGTCTCTAAGACTTCTAATTTAGTTATCGCTTGTTTTCCGGGAAAGTTTTTACTTGCTCCAATTGACTTACAAACTAGCCTATTGGTCACCGGCTCGTTGTCAATCCCCCGCGCAATATTATACAGCCATGAGCCAGTCTTTTCATCAAACCTTCTCTGAAGATCTTGCAATGAGTAACGTAACAAATCAGCCATTACGTTACATCCCAATGATTCCATCACAATATTTCCAAACTTGCCGCCAAGGTTTCTCACCTTCTTTACAGGCAAGGAAGAATACAGAGTCGGAACTGCTGCTAATGGAAGAATTGTCTGACGGTTCGGCTTATGCAGACCACAAGCCAACTTAGCAAGTATTTTATTGTAAGATATACCAGCAGAACATCTGTACTCGCACTGCGAGTATATTTCAGCTCTCAGATGCTCAACAATAATTCCAGCTATTGCTAATCTTCTGGACTGCATGTCACCCAATTCAGCGAAAGTTTCAGTGATCCAACGATTAACGCCTTCTGTTCGCTTTTCTTCGTCATTTGTGTCGTAATCACAGTAGCCAACGACGTACGTATTTTTCAACTGAGTTACCAAGTCCTTGGGCTGGCCAAATACACTTTCCATTTTTTTATCTACTAAGTCTGTTATGTCCAGATAAGCTTCGTCAACACTGGCTCGTTCTATAACGTTGCAATGTTTCTTCAGCACATCAATAACTTCTTTTCCTGCTGCACGGTACCTGTAGAAATAAAATATTCATTTTAATTAATTTTTTTTTCAACAATTGATGATTGATCTAACATTATTTTACCTTCCAGTGTCAGGTTTATTCCGTAGGGGAGGTACAGTAACTAATTCTATCTGTGGACATTTTTCTTTGGCTTCATCACTTTTCATATGTCTAGTCACTCCAAAATCTCTCGCTTCATAGTTTACAGCAATTATACTGAAAAATAATAGAAAGTAATTATTTGTAAGTTGATGCAGATACTAGTGCTAATAGTACTATCTATAGAATAATTCCGCGACTGCAATTAGAGATATGCATAGATTTATAAGCACCAGCTATTTATATAATTCACGACGGACACGATCAGTGAGACTGAAATATTTTGATGATAATAGACTTAAAAAAAAAACACATAAGTGCCGGAATCTGTGTCTAGGCACGAAAAATTTTCTATGTTTTTATAAAGATTAAATAGTGAATATCGATTTTTATTTTTTTGTATAAAAAAATTCACAACAATTAGAATTACTCTAAATGTTAATAGCATAGTTATGGGATATTCTTTTCATGTAAGTATGATAAATATTTTTAGAGATTGAAAATTTTTTTTTGCTCAATGATTTAAAATAAATATTTTCATAAATAAAAAAATTGTTCAAGCCGAAAAATAAAATTTCTTTTTGTTTTTGAATTTAATAATCAAAAATTTGGAAGTTTTTTTTTTCAGCAATTAAATGATGAAAAATTGAACTGAATACAGTATATGCTCAACATTATAAAGAATTTTTTTTTCAATTAATTAAAATATCAACAAAATAAATTATGACAAATTTTTCACAATTTTTAAATATTCGTCAACAAAATTAATTAATTGAAAACATAAATATATTTTTTTATAAAATTACAAAAGATAATAACGATACAAATTTTTAGATTTGATTTGCACTTTTGTAATTTATCCCTGATAAAACTTAATATTTTTAAATTAACGACTTCACTACTGTCTTTGATGAGTAAAATTTATATCTGAAATTTTGTATTTAAAAAAAAAATTTTTAAATACATTTTCAGTAAATATAATGAAAAAATAAATTACCTTCCAGGTCCAAACGAACTGTACTGAATAACTGCTAATGGTTTTCCTTTCAATTCAGGAGCTAATTTAACTTCCACTTGACAAAAAAAACAATCCATGTCAATAAGAACAACGATTCTATCTCCCAAATTCGACATTTTTATTTTATTTGTTTTATTATGTGCAAAATTAATAATTTCAACCTGGAAAAACAACACTGTCCTAACCTCTACAATGAACTATTATAAATTAATTATTTCATCACATGTTTAAGCAATTATAATGATTTATTTATATATTTTAATTACTCTAGAATATTCAACTTAATGAATTTATTGAAAAAATTATTACTTTACTGATAATCCAGACTTGTTTATAATTATAAATAGAATGTAAATACGGGGTCATCTGCTGAGTGATCCGAACGGAAATGTAGCCAATGTAATAATTGTATTTAAAGAAATTCAAAAAGTAACTTGCTCTCTAATAAGTTATATACATTTAATACTTCATACATAACACTTAATGTATGTCAAATAATAGTAAATTCTATATAATAAAATAAAATACACACATTAAAACATTTAGATATCATATTTATGAAAAAAATTAAACTGTAACCCATGAAACATTACAAAAGAACGACAATTGATCTGTCTTCTAAGTCTTCAAAGTGTCATAAGTTTGATCTGTCTTCTAAGTCTTCTCTAAGTCATAAGTAAGAAATTAGTTGTCGGTAAGGTAAATTTTTTTAGGTTTTTAACTGGCGGTGGAGGAAATTTAAATTATATAATCTAAATTCAAACACAACCTTTTTATTCTAAATAAGAATAATATTATTTTTAGTGATATAGATGTAGATATAATAGTGATATAGATATAGAATTCTATATGGTGATATAGATAATATCACTATATAGAGAGTGGTGTATGCTTATAAATAACTAAGAGTGTACCAAAGAAAAATGAGTAAATAAATGCAATTATTATTATAAATGTAATATGGTAACAGTTTTGTAAAACACTAAATACGGTGATACAAATAAAATTATATTCTATTCTAATTAACTGTGGCTTTTTTTATTGTTCAGTCCGGTAGTATTTTATAAAATCATTAATTTGAGTTATCGGTGACACGTATGATATAGATAATTCGATTTAATTGCTATTGTTCTTTGTTCTTATAATTTATCCGTGTAGAAACAATAATAATTTCTGATATAATAGCATGATAATTGCTACTATCAATTAATAGAATAAATTTTTCTTTCAAAAAATTACACATACTTCCTGGTCTTACCCATATAGAAAACTTTTTCAAAGCTTATTGAGCAAATCTGGTCTCAATTTCGATAGTTGTTAGTGTCTTTTTCTAGCTATGGGTCTTGCTCCAGATACTTGTAGCAAAGCAAATTCAATTCACAAGCCTTGTACAAGAACTTTGGGCCAGATTATAACTCAAGTCTTGAGAAAGACTGACACCAGAAGCATGCTAAATATACTTGTGCAAGAGTTGCTCAAGATTTGCTCAAGATGAAATGTTTTTAAATGACCGTTCGCATCATTCTACCCCTCCTATATTTACTATAGAATCAGTGGATTTCTGAGAATTACGGATCTTGAGCAAATCTTGAGCAAGTCATGGGTAAGTCTTTGTTGTGAGTTTCTGGTACAAAAAATGCGTAAGAAAGTTTTTCAATGCACCTTGCTTTAGACTTGTCTCATATTCTTGCACAAGATGTCTTGAGCTAGTTACATATAAATTTTGAACCATGTCTTTTTAAATAAACTTGAGCAAGACCTATATGTAGAAAAAGACACTAGCAACTAGGGGTTTTGCTCAAGACGCTGGCACCAAAATCTTGCTCAAGCACATGTTACTTGGGTAGTTATCTTAGAGAATATATTGCTCCTTTCCTCCTTTGCCGAGAAAAAATTTAAAAACATTCAATTAAATATATTTATTTTAAAGAATGATTAATAAAATATACCTTTCATTATTATTCTGTTTGATGTGTTTTAATAATCAATAACCTTGATGCTGTTGCTTCCCGAAAAATTAATCATTGTTGCCCAAGAATTTTCAGTATAAATGTTTCAGTAAAACGATCCGATAAGATAAAACGCGAGCATGAAACATAATACAGTTATTTTTTATAAATAAAAAGTAAAAACAACTCGCTGATTCGTTGAAATAAATGAATCATTTGTTTAACACGTCGAATACGTGTTAAAGTTTTGAGATTAGAAATAAAAACGTATTCTACTAATCGCTTCACACTTGAGTTTCATTGCTTAAAGTCGTATCTGCTCATTTAAAAACAACGTTTTACAATGTTTCATTTAATAATTTTTAGCACTGTTATTAGTTTAATATTTATATCGGTAAGTTTTTTTTTTTTAATTTAATTATCTATATTCTTGCATAGTTAATTTTTTTTCTAAAAATATTTCATACAAATTGTTAATTTTTTCTTAATGCGACGTTTTATATTTTCATTTATGAAACTATGTTAATATTAATAAAATTATAAAACAATTTAGGTGATATCTCTACCATCATATCAAGTGCATCCAATAGAATTGGTCAATGATGAACCAGAAGAAATTTCGATTGTAAACTTAGAGGATGGAGATTACGTTGAAAAGTTAATAATTCAATTGACGGATTGTAACTTGGAGAATAAAACGCATGATTCTGAGGAGCTTCGTACGGAATTAGAAAGTCTTTATAAAGAATCATTAGCTGCTCGTGGTTTATCTCATTGGGCTCTTGACCATCTTCAAGCCCTAAGAGTACATAGAAAGGTATGTTTCAACATTGTCGCTTTAATTTTTAAATTTCTAAAAAAATAAATGGTTAATTTTCTTCGCAGGAAAAGTGTACACCAAAGGTCTAGAATAATTTTGTCTTCAAGAGTATTTTGTGTATTTTTTTTATCTAACAATTCTACAAGCTATTTACTTGACGCGACAAAACAGTGAATAATTGTACTTATGTTTATATAGTTTTTGAAAATAAAACCTTTCAACAAGAACATTTTATTCAACTTTCAAAATTTATTGCTAAGAAAATATTAAATTATTCCTACGTTAATCATTTATAAAGCAATGGTGAATCAATATATATTTTGAAACTAAGTAGAAATATATTTTAATTTCAAAAGTAAAAATAGTTACAAAAATTTATCGTATACTTTGACCGTTGATCTTTATTTTTTAACGTAAACGATCAATTCAGTTTGGTTGACGCATGAATTGCGGGAAACTCCAGATAAGATAATATTTGAGTTATAAACATATTAGACACGTTACCGGACATCAACGATTTAGAGGAATTAGCTTCTGAAAATAATGATACTGTAAGTTTTTCTTATATTCTTTATTTTTAAAATTAAAAATTCAATTTATTTGTTATTTCATTAATTCATCATAAATAAAGTAATAAAAATTTGGAAATTTGTAATAAAGTTTTAGAATAAATTAAAAAGATGATACAGACTCAATAATAACATTTTAGACTATTAAATCAATAATGCTTTAGATTTTCGAGAAAAATTCTGAATAAATTTAATAAGTTATTTAAATTTAATAGAAACAATTAATAAAGTGTTAGAGCTATATAAAAATTTGTATACCAATTACTGTGTACTAAATATTTGTTAATTACAGGTAATAAAAAAAAAGTGAAACGAAAATATTTTTATTTATGTATAATTAATAGCTTTACTTAAATATACAATTTACTTGTATTGTCAAAATCGTTATTAACTTCTGTGATACGCAAGTTATTATTATTATAGTCGTTAATTTAAATTTAATTACTTTGATTTTATCTATTTAAGTTTTCGATCATAAAGGGTTATAAAAATACCACGAAAATTCGTCACTTTATTTCTGATTTAATTTATTAATGACCATCGTAATAATTCAATAACTTTGTGTTTAATCAGGGTTTTTCCATAAACGTCAAAAATAATTTTTCGTTGTAATCTAAAATAGTTGGATTTTACGACCTGTCGTTAATTTAATCACTTTAACATTGTCTACATTCCACGGATTCTTAATTACTGAAAGGCATATAATTTTAAGTCAACTTAAGTTAGTTACTCCAACAAGCAGGTGAATGTAAGTATTGCATATTGTAAGATCGATGAGTTCCGCGTAAGTTTGACGTTCGGAGAAATTGCATTCAGTTTTTCTGATGATCAATATACTTAAACAAAGCTACTTGCTACATTTATTCAACTATTTTGTGAATTTTAGTATGTTAAGAAGCATTTTTGTAAATACCACGTTATAAAAATTATGTTTTTAATGTTTTTAAATGTTTTTAATACTGTATGATAATTAAATTATTTGAAAAATTTTTTTTCAAGATCCAACATTCACCATGAAATCATCTATACATCGTAACTACCAATTATTTCCGGGATTTCATAATGGAAAAATTTTAGCCTGTTTTTTTATGAATTTTTTGTTGTTCAGTCCAAAATTTGGTTTAGGAAAACCATCCAGCTGTCCTCTTCAATCTAACGTAAGTTAAGTCGAGTATATAAAACCTTTGAGATAATTAACGATCAATTATGATTATTATATGATTTCTCTAACAATTCTTGCAGGGACAATGTATTAATTCAAGAAATGATCAGACTAGGAACTATTTTGTTAATAATAGCTCAAACAATCAACTAGATTGGAAAGAATCTTTAACTTGTAGTTTTGGCATGAACGTGGTGCCGCAAAATGATATTCAGATGTTAAACTTGTATCGTGAGCTGGAATTCGATGATTCATACGGTGGTGTATGGGACCAAGGTTTTGACATAACTTACAGCCCGAATCAATGGAGTCCTACAAATAAACTTAAAATATTCGTGGTACCTCATTCTCACAATGACCCAGGATGGCTGATTACATTCGAAGAATACTACAAAGAATCAACACGAAATATTTTAAACAACATGGTAGTAAAATTACCCGAAGACAAGCGTAGAAAATTTATCTGGGCAGAGATATCATTTTTCAAACTATGGTGGGATGAACAGTCGGAAGAAATTCACGAAATAGTCAGAAAACTTATTGCTGATGGACAATTGGAAATAGTTTCAGGTGGATGGGTTATGCCGGACGAAGCTGTATCTCACTGGATGGCGCAGTTGACTCAATTGACTGAGGGTCATCAGTGGTTGAAGAAAAACTTGAATTATCGACCCACCAGCAGTTGGGCGATTGATCCGTTTGGATTGTCTCCAACAATGCCATATCTGTTGAAAAACTCTGGATTTGATAATGTTCTCATTCAGCGTGTGCATTATGCAGTGAAGAAACGTTTTGCCCAGGATAAAACTCTTGAATTTCGATGGCGACAATTGTGGGACACCACTGGGTCAACGGAAATATTCACTCATATGATGCCGTTTTCTAGTTACAGTATTGAAAAAACTTGCGGGCCTAATCCTTATGTTTGTGTGCAGTTTGACTTCAGTAAGCCATATTCTGAAGAAATAACAGACGAAAATGTTGCTGAACGAGCGTCGTTATTATTAGATCAGTATAGGAAGAAATCTCAATTATATAAGACTAATGTTGTTCTAGTACCTCTGGGTGATGATTTTCGTTACAACAAAAGTTTCGAATGGGATGCTCAGTACAATAATTATCAAAAATTATTTGATTACATGAATGCCAATACGTGTCTTAATGTTGATGTTAAGTTTGGCACACTTACTGATTACTTCACTGCAGTCAGGAGCGAGAAAGAAATCTCCGAATTTCCGAGCTTATCGGGTGACTTCTTCACTTACTCTGATAAGCACAGATATTATTGGAGTGGTTATTATACATCACGGCCGTTTCATAAAAGACTTGACCGCATGCTTCTTGGTGCTCTGCGTAGAGCCGAAATAATATCAGCAATAGCCTTGATTCACGGTCACCAACAAGATTTCGGAGAGCGAATCATCAAAGCAAGAGAGCTTCACTCGTTGTTCCAGCATCATGATGGAATCACTGGTACTGCTAGAGATCATGTTGTTGTTGATTACGCTGACAAAATGCTAGGTGCTCTTAAAAATTTAGATGTTGTTACTCAACAGTCAGCAGCGCATTTATTGAAAAATACGACCATACCTAATTTATACCATGAATCGGCTTATTTGTCTCTAGATGAAGTGAGATATCATCATAAAGATATTAAGGAACGGAAAATATTGAAGTTAAACAGAAATGAGACTTTCAAGAAAGTCATCATTTATAATTCACTTCCTCGACAGAGAACCAAAGTTCAAACGTTAATAGTGTCAACGCCTTTTGTCCAAGTTGTCAATCGTAACGGTGACCAGCTGCAATGTCAAATATCACCTGTTTGGGTCGGATCAGAAATATATTCTCGTGAAAAATATGAATTATCATTTTTAGTCACAGTACCTGGTTTCGGACTTGAAGTTTACTCAATTTTCTTCATCGAAGGTGATAAGTTACCTGAAAATGTTTACTTAGCTGATGTAACACTATTCAATACCGTAGTACCATTGTCAAATAAATTTGAGTCCAAAGATATAAAAATCTTCCCTTCAGCCCAAGAGTTTTCGATCACACAGCAAAATATTTCAGCTAGTTTTGCGAAATCAGGGCTACTAAAATCCATACGGACTGGAGATATAACAACTTCCGTTGATCTGGAATTCATTCAGTACAAAACCTTTCAGAGTGGCGCTTATCTTTTTACTCCATATGATGCACAACCTAATTATCTTTACGAGTGGGATTACCATGTTGTCCATTTAGTGGATGGACCAATTCTATCAAGAGTATTTATACAACTACCGCAGGTTACACAAACTTACACCTTGTTTAACTCAACTGGGAGCGATGGTTTGGGTCTTCATATTTCTAACCATGTTGATATCACTAATACATTCAATTTTGAACTGGTTATGCGTTTGCGTACAAACATTTCTTCAGGTGATGAGTTTTTCACAGATTTAAACGGTCTTAATGTAAGTAAAATTAAAAAAAAAATTTCAATTTTTCTTTATAATAATACAATGAAAAAAAGTATCATTTTTATCAAAATAATTAACTTAAATTAAAAAAAAAAATTCTTGAATCGAGGACAATTTACTCAAATCAAGAAATATTTATTGAAGTATTTCTTAGTTCAAAATTTTTTTGGCTTTTTGATTTAAGCTGACTAAATAACTGAATTTTTCAAAACGATATTGTTAGACAAAAATTTTTTCTCTTGAAACAAGTTAATTTTTCTTCAGTGTATACGTATAATTATGCGTATAATCAACATATCATTTATTGTTAGCAGTGCAATACCATGTTTTTCCAGTATACATATATTCACCAGGTTTTTCAAAAATTTAATATTAACATTGCAGATGATAAGGCGACAAAGATTTCTTAAACTTCCAATCCAGGCTAATTATTATCCACTTCCAGCAGCTGGTTATATCCAAGATGATAAAGCGCGACTGACAATTTTGTCAGGTCAACCATTAGGAGCTGCGTCAATAGCACCTGGCCAGTTTGAGGTAAGTTAGCACATTCCATTGTCTCCACTAAATTGTAAAGTAATTTAATTGTTAAATAAAAATTTTGATAATTAACTTATTTACTTAGATAATGCAAGATCGTAGACTCAACCAAGATGATTGGCGTGGGCTTGCCCAAGAAGTCAAGGATAACTTAGTGACAAACCATGACTTTATGCTGGTTCTAGAGAAGAAAAACCAATCTTGCAGTTCATTCGCGCCTGATCACCCTTCTAGGGCGCTTTCTTTGGGTGGATTATTAGCATCAGAGGAACTCTTACATCCTTTAGTTGCAATGTATTCACATCCGTCAGACAATAGTTATAAAGATCATTTCTCACCTGTTAATTTTGATCTTCCGGTAGATTTAGCCATTGCTAGCTTTCGTGTCTTTTCAGTGCCTATCGGTAAAAGCAATTTGAGCCTTGACAAGGCTCTTGGCATGGTGTTGCATCGTCAACCTGTTGATGTTTGTTGGGGCGATGAATTAATTGCAACACGTTTCAAGTTATCCAGCAATGGCGAAATAAATGTCAGAAATTTGTTGAATTTAACTCAGGAATGGAGTATCAATGAAGCTTCGTTGACATTCAACAGTGTAGAGGCTTCACTGCAATCATCAGTTATCGAATTATGTCCTCATAAGCTTTCAGCGATTTTATTGTCTAATTCAAATTTCAATTAATTTTTATAGTTAGTTATTATGCTTACTTAATGAAGTGACCTTCTTCATATCTTAATGTATATAAATTATTATTGAATTTTTTAATGTAATCAAAGTAGATAATAAAATTGATTTGTCATAAACTAGGAGATATAAAATTATTTAAGAACAATTGTTGAAACAGAATTTATAATTTCCTATTTTATCAATGAACCATGGGTAAGTAAGGCTAAGCCAGAACGACGCTAAACACATCAATGACTCAATAAACATAATTTAAACTGCGCATGCGCAAAAAATATCTGCAAAATAAAATTTATTTTCTATTATTAATATGACTTTAAAATTGACATTGAATAATTATTTTAAAAAACACTTTTTTCAATTGATCAATAAAATTCTTAAAAAACAAAAAAGTATTTTCATTTATTATAATTTTTTTTTTTCGAAAGCCCCGGGTAAAAATGACTGGGACGTCACCAAGAATTACATCTAGCAGTATATATATTGTACATTTAATTGATGCATGGGTGAACAAAAAAAAAAAAAAAAAAAAACAAGAATAAAAACATGGTGCTGTCATCTAACGCATCTAACGTCATCACACCTGATTTTTTGAACTAAATAATACGTCCGACATGTTTTATTGTCGAGACTTGAGAATTAGTAAACATTGAAGTGTCAAATAATTAAAAAAATTAAATTACCCGTGTGTAAATTAAATCTAAAACGTGTCAATCATGTTATTAGTGGTGAATCCTAACCTTCAATTATTATATTGTCATAATATTATTATTTAATTGTTGACAATTGTTTTACTCAAAAGCCAACTATTGATGGATTTAATCAGCAAGAAAAGATGAATTATTTTTTATTATAAAAAAATCAGCATGATGATTAGTTTTTATTGTATTTTTTGATAAATTCTTTTATTTTAAATTAAATTTTAATTAGACAAAATGAATTTTGAGTTAAATCGCTTGAATACATTTAACGAGTGGCCAGAAAACGCAGCTGTCAATCCGTCAAGAATAGCAAAAGGCGGATTTTATTACACTGGTCAGGGTACTAATGTTCAGTGCTTCTTTTGCGGAGTTACCATATCTGAATGGAATTACGGGGATCAAGTGATGGCACGTCACCGCGAAGCTAGACCAGAATGTCCTTTTGTTTTAAATCCAACTAACACCTGCAACGTTCCTCTGCTGGACTCAAATAATTCGACTCCTAGTCTCTTTAGTTTGCCTCCGCCACCAGAAGAACCTAGGATAGAACCATCTGATAGGCAGCAGCCGACGACTTCATCTCCAGTGCAAAGTCAGAACCCTAGAATTGAATATGGAACTTATGAGCAGAGACTCAGGTCTTTTGGGAATTGGCCAGCTACTAATAATGTTACGCCTGAAAGTCTTGCGAGAGCTGGTTTTTATTATCTCCAACAAGAAGATATGGTAATTTAATTACTTATTGTTCTATTATTAAATATTGACCTTAATAAGTAGTTGATTAGTCTCTGATTTTAATGAATAATTTATCATTGTAGGTTGAATGTGTTTATTGTCGAGGCATAATGAGCAAGTGGGAACCAGGTGATGATCCATATAATGAACATAGAAACGGTTTTCCACATTGTGATTTCTTCAATCACCGAGAATCTAATTCAGGTAGTTTTATTTTATTTAAATGCTTACCTAGTTCTCGTGAATATTTTTCTAAATTATTTATTAATTTATTTATATTAAAAAATAATTAAAAGTGGTTAAAGTTTATTTAGTAAAGATTATTATTAAAGATTTATTTGGCATCAAATACATGTTACATATAAAAGCCCAATATAATAATAAGTATTCAAGCTCTAAATATAATAGTTTTGGCAATACTACTAAAACGTCATAAGTATTGAAATTAATTGACGACGAGTGGTTTATTTTTTATATTAATCAAATAATCTGTAATGGGGTCAGGTAATTTTAATAAAACTTGTGTATTTATTTTGTATTTAACGTAAACTGTTGCGTAATGCTTTTAACCTTAACATCGATATAAAAATGCATATTAATTTGTACAACTATTTTATTTTTTAATTTCATCATGAGCTTGCATAACTGTAGTATTAAACTGATATTTAAATTAAAAATTAAATATTAGGTTACTTAAATTTGAATTTATATGTATTTCTTCAGCTTTAACGACAGAAGAGAAAGAAGAATTGGCAAACGTCAAATTATTGTCGGGAACGACGGCGGATTTGCATAAATTAGGAATACAAAAACATACCGGACCGAAGCAGCTTAAGTATGCTACGTACGAGGGCAGACTCAGAACATTCCAAGGGTGGCCTGATAACCTTCAGCAGACACCAGATATGTTATCAACCGCTGGATTTTATTATGTTGGTCAGTCAAATATATTTTTTAACTTCTCGCTAAGAAAATTAAAAATTTTTAAAAATCAGGAAGTTATTGTTTTTACCCTGTTTTTCGAAAATCGAGTTTTCATCAGATCTCCACGTTTTAAGGTCCTAGGAAGCTTCCCTGACTATTCCCGTGATGGTATCTGTATGTCTGTCACAATAAGTACGATTTTGAGTGCTTAATTACGAAAGTAGTGGGGAAAGTTGCAGGGATGGCCTTCAGGGTCAACCGCTTTCCTAATTTTTTTCAGATTAACTTTTTAAATTGATTGTTTTATTGAATATATTATTTATTATTTATTAGTTCAAGTTGTACAGTTTTTAACTATTCTACATTCTTATTCCAAAAGGCACTTTATCTTACTTTTTTATACATAAATTAGTTTAATTATTTACTTTAATATTTATATGTTTTATGGAATGTATGAAAAATGAAAATTTTCAACAGGTTCGGGTGATCAAGTAAGATGTTTTCACTGTGATGGCGGCTTACATAACTGGGAAGCCGATGATGATCCTTGGACTGAGCATGCCAGATGGTTTCCGAAGTGCGGTTTTGTGTCTATTGTCCGTGGGCAAGATTTTATCCAGCATTGTATCGACAACAGACCACCTTTAGATCCTTTAGTATGGATCATTTTATTAAAATTCTTTAAAAAAAAAAAAACAACATAAATAATTTATAATTTTAACAGATATTTCTTGGAGTACCTGAAAATGGAGAAGATGTCGGAGAATCATCTACATCACAACCTGCCAGTTCTAGTTCTAGTTCTAATTCTAATTCTAATTCTAATTCTAATTCAGTTAGAATTAGACATGAGGTTACTGATACTGAAGTTGAAGAACTTTTGCATTCAGCACCAGCTATTGTGAGTGTTTTCATTGTCAAAAAAATTAACATATTTATCAATATATTTTTAAACAATTTTTTTTCTTATTTAAGACCGCTCTACAATTGGGTTTAAATCTTGGGAGAGTAAAAACGGCATTAAGACAACGTTTGGAAAGGTTTGGAGTACCTTACACAAATTCTGATCAGCTTATTGAGCACGTTCGTCGTATTCATTTGACTGAAGAAAATAACGGGTGACTAATTAACAAACAAATTACTTATTTTATTATTTCAAATATTTATCTAATTTTTTTTATTGTTATTATCATTACAGACTGGAAAATAATACAGAAACATCATCGTCCGAGCTAGCAGCTTTGTTGAGTAAAGTGATAACAGTTCAATCATCAAGTAAATCCAGATCACAAGGGCAAAATAGATCGGATATTGTAAAACAGCTAGTACCAATGAGTTGCAATGGCGAGAGTCAAGAAGCAACAGTTATGAGTTTAAAAAAAGATAAAAGAGCTGACGCCCAGACAGATAATGGACCACGTAAGTGACTAATTATTTTTCCAGTTTTACCATGAATCATGAAACTATGACTTAATTACAAAAATAACTCACTAAGATAATGCTATATTAGCAAATAAATATTATAATAATAATAATTATCACATTAACATAAATTAAAAACTCTCGTAAGTAGACAATAAAATTCAATGTCAAATTGAATTGTTTTATTGTTAAATGTACCGTGAAATTTATTTTTTCTTTCAACTTTCAAGGGTTACATTTTACATAGTATAAAAAATAAAAATTTCAATGATGTAATCGTTGACTCAAGTTTACTTTTTCTAGCTATCTATGTATAAATGATTAATAATATGGTGACCACAAAACGGAAAAAACGGAGAATTATCGGAATTTTAAAAAGAGTATGGGAATTTTTTCAGTGATAAAATTTTATCTTGTAATTTTTTCTTATAAAAATCATCACAATTTAATTGCTTTTATCTGAGCTAGCTACTTTTTGTTCTATGCTTGAATGTAAATTAATAATAGATGGATACTGTTTTATTGTTGATATCTCCGAGAGTTTTTAATAATATAAGTTTATTGAGCCAAATAAAATAAACTAATATTAAAATATAAATATTTTGAATTATAGTATCACTTGAAGAGGAAAATCGCCGTCTAAGAGAAGCGCGATTATGTAAAATATGTATGGATAGAGAAGTTTCAGTAGTATTTCTGCCGTGTGGACATCTTGCCACTTGTGTGCAATGTGCACCGTCATTAACAGACTGTCCAATGTGCCGCCAAGAAATTCGTGCCACCGTGCGAACGTTTTTAGCCTAATCAATTATTTATTGATAAATAAATAAATTATTTATTTTATTTTAATGATTACTATGATGATGATGATGAAGATAATTATTATAATATAAAAAGAATTGATATTATTTTATTTAATAACTTAATACGTAGCTTCTCGTAATGATTATTTCTAAAAATAAGCTGATGCAGTTTAACAATAAATTAAAACAACAATAGCAATAACAACTTCAGTAGTATCGAAAATTTTGACTTTTAAAATTTCAATTCTAATTACGAGTTTTACATGCTTACGTCATAGATAATAATTACCGATACCTGATTTAAAACTCATAGACCAAAAAGAAAGAGATATAAATATATTATATATTATTAATTGTAAATTGTTTATAAAGAATGACCGAACAGATAAAAGATATTGAGGACAAAAAATTGCAGCTGTAACAATCAAATCTCATTGTTAATTATCAATTATTTATCTGGGATATATATTTTTTTTAAACTTGGTTCGTTTGCTAGAAAATTGTGATTAAGCAGAGATAGATATTTTGTAAATATGTTTCACTGTTACAAAGTTTTAATTAAAATACATAGAGGCTGATGAGTATCAATATTATTGTTTTATCTATTAATGAACAATGTCCTATCCAATAGACCAATAAACGATGACTCAAGTTTATAATCAAGCTGGTAATGCTTTTAATTAATGCTATTGTTAATTAAATGTTTATTATACATATAACTTGCAACTATCGTTTATACTAACGCAATCATACAATGAGCTGTACAATGAAACCAATGGGTATTTTAATCACAAATTATTATCATATCGTTGCCCTCCCACAGAGTCGGTTGATAAATTTAACTTTAAAACTTTTAACTGGACTGGATGAAGTTTATTTTAATATAAGTTTCTTTCAATCAAACAGTAAGTCTTTATAATATTATTATTAATAATAATAAGAGTGAGATAATAATTTACAAACATTGGATACTAAATTAAACGGTAAGTACTCATTAACGTGGTAATTAAATAATCAGCAAGTTTTATAATAGCCAGTACTTGGTATAGCAGCTAGTTTGTTTCCTGTTTTATTTTCCCGGAAGCGACATATTTAGTATAATAGAAACATATTGCGTTTAGTATTTTAGAAATAATCTATATATACCACGATGACTCCATGTCATGACTTACGCTCCTCGAACTTCGTAGAAATGATTACGAGTATTAAACGGTCAATAGAAAAAAATACATTTGTGGACTGTGACCGTTGATACAGCCTTTTATTGCTCTGCTCTTTATCCTCATTTCATAATACCATCTTCGTATCGATTTTTATCTGAAACTCAATAGCCGATGCAACTACAAAACTATACCATCAACTACACTGATAAAATATACTCGTCTGTGGTACATTTTATAAATGTAATGTTTTTTTGTGTTCTAGTTTCAGGTCGTAGTAGAGTAATAACTACCAAGCTTTTTAAGGTACTTTGTATCTAGAACACCCAGACTGGACTGGACTGTAACATAGTAATATGTATTACGTCAACTAGTGAAATAGTCATCTATTTATGTATCATTTAGAGAATTTGATGGGTTTTACAGGCATTTCTATGAGTTCAAGAGGGCTAATGTCGTTGAATTTGGCGTTATTACAAAGATTGAGACTATAAAAAAAAAACATAGTTTTTTTTTAATTTATTTTTTTTCATGAAAAAAATATATTTTTTATCATGAAAAAAAAGGATTTTTTTTTAATGAATAAAAGAAAAAATTATATTAAAAAAAATAATTGTTTAAAATTAAAAAAAAATTTTGGACGGTAAAATAATCTATATATAATTATAAAAAAAAAAAATTAATTTGAAATATTATTGTTAAGAATAATTTTGAGAAATATTTTTTTTCTTTCCTTTGTTATTGATACATTTTTTCCTCAATACATAGAAAAGTATCGCTTGTTAAAAAATAATGAAGCGCTAAAAATAAATACTTGTCCTAAAAACTTAAAATTATTGGACAGTTGCGTAGCGACTGCAGGGTATCTAGTAATATTTTATTATAATTTAATAAAAAAGTAAAAAGTTTTTATTTTTTGTCGATTAATTTATTTCGGGCCGACAGATCAATGAAAATAGGGGTACGTGGCCTGCGTCGTAGGGCAGCGCACAAAGTCCTCAACGAGGGTTGGTTGTTGCTATTGGATTTTCACCCTTGAATAAAAATCTCCGGCCCTTGGCCGTAGTCCTACACATCAGTACTACGTATTTCTTATAGTATTGGATTTATTGCTTCAATAATAACGCTAATAATCGTGCTAAATACAAATTGTTTTCTCAATAAATACAAGCTAATAAAAAAAAATAAGATTACCGCGATATCATGCGAGTAGCGGGAAATTTGATAATTGTTTATTGCGTTTAAAAGCCAGAGTGTTTTGTATTTAAACAACAACAACGTCGCCGACAAAGTTCTTACACAGTGAAGCCTTTTGATTTTATTTTTAACGTTGCGGCCGTCTCTTACATTGGGCCTTTAGCGTTTTTTCTAAATTGTTGTTATTATTGTTAATGTAAGCGATGGCTTAAAATAAAACGTTCTCTTTTATTTATCAGTACAATATAATATAATATATTATCTGTACACATATAAATAAAAATTTAATATCAACAATAGTGGGGAAAGACGGTATTGTTGGACAGTGTATGCTGGTTGTCCTGGCAGCTGTTCTGGTAACCGACTACAGCATACAGTATAGGTAACAGCTAAAGAAAAGCTAAGTGGAACTGAAAAACTCGGAATTGCACGTTTATTCGACGCCATTACAACCGAATAGCATTTACCATCTACCTAGTTTACCATTCCTAAGTTGAACAAAGTGAAATTTGTGAATTTAAGAATCACAAACTTAACTGATGAAGGCGTTTCATTTATTAGTGTGAAACGTTTTTAGTTTTTATCTTATTATCATCTGCAAATTTAAGCAGATTTATTATTTTACTCAATCATGCTTTTAAATTGATTTTAAATTTTAAATTTATTTTAGTTTTGTTTATTATTTTAAAGTGTTTTACAATTTATTTATTATATACTCACAACTGTTTGGATTTGAGTTCGTCTGAAGGGTATGTTCTCATATCATTTTTTTAGTTTTAACATTTATACCATTTAAATAAAATCTCACCTTCTATTTTTGTTATCTATTTATCGGTTCTCTTGATGTTGGTTGAATAATTTACAACCAAAAATTTCAAAATATTTAGCTTATCAATCGGCAAATGTTTAATTAGTGTTAACCAATGCTCCAGTTAAAACAGATGGTTGCCTTATAATCAAGAAAAAAGTAAAAAATATACAAACTGAAATATGTACTGACGATAAGATTAAAAAATCTTGAACTTTACGAATTAAAAACTTTAAAAATATATTTTGGTAGATGACTGAAGCCCCTAAAATGAAAGAAACAAAATAAAAAAAGAGCCTGCCTTCCAATTGACGCAGCCATATGTAGCGTTTTTTTATCGTTTTTAAAATTAATAAAAAAATATAAATAAAACATAACGACAAAAGGAAGGGGGCGTGAATAAATTTTAAATAATAGTATGACTGTATCATATGACTACATATGCATATATAAATATATGTGTATGTATGTGTTTCCTGGCCTCACCTTTATACAAAGGACGTGGGTTTTGTATTTACAATTTACAAGCTATACAAGGGGACTTTGTTGATATCTTCCTTTTTTATCACTCATTCCCGTTTGTTGGTGCTGTCTCTATTACACTATCGAATGTACGCTGTTGCCACGCACGAAATTAAATAACAAAAAAACCAGGAGCGGCATATGTGAAAGTTTTTAAAATTAACATTAAATAGTTAAAATAATAATGCTTTAAAGTATTTTACTCATTCCTAGAATTTGAAAGTTAAGAAGATTTACATCTGCCGGAATCAGCTCAGACATTGCGTTGAATTTGGATTTTTTTAATTCAAATAAGTTTCATTGAGTTGGCAATTGAGCCAATTGACCCTACATTCTTCATTTTTAAATGTAATGGGTTTTATTTTTTAATCATCTTCTTTTTCTTGCTCCGTACCTAGAAAAATTTTTATCTATCTTCATCATTAAATTATTCTGTTTAAACTGGTATTGAAGATTGAAGGAGCGACAAATGCTACATCAGTGGAATTCCATTCTAAACTCACTGGTCTCCTCGCAACACTTGCCTGTAGTCTGTAGCTGTGTTGGTCCCGGTTTTGAATGCCTGTAATATATAAATACATATAAATTTTCTTTGTCGGTATGGTTATTTAGTAAGAGTGTGTTAGTACTTGTCTGGCGCCTTATGATACATACTAAGAAAAGATAAGCCGTGATCACGTTTTGAGAACGTGAACACAAGACATGACTAACTTTAAATATACATGTATAAGGTATATATGGGTAAATATGTCCATTAACATATTTATGTATTTCAAAATCGAAGACAGAAAATAGTAAACCTGAATCAAAATAAAAAATTATGATTAATAGTGCTTAGGATTAATGCAAAATATAACTAAACTTAAAATCTGGCAACGCTGGAATGAATAAAGGAAGAGCGAGGTACCAGGGCCGTATTTTTCATAATCTGGGACGCTGAGACTGAAACTTATATAAAATGAAACTTGTGTAGTAAGTATGGTACGTCCGTAGTATATAGTAATAATAGTATAATGTTTAGACGACTGGACGTTTGAACTGAACTTGGCGCCAGACTCTATCGAGTCTGTGGATATGCAATGAACTGCTATAACGAGTAAACGGTACGAGAACATGAAAGAGTGGGAAAAGAAATATCTAGAGGGCAATGCGATAGAAGGGGAAGAAAAAGGACAAACGATGCTTTCTGAGGCCGTTTTCGTATGAGACTCATACTATGAGTGCCAGCTGTGCTGTGTATCGTTAAACGTGAAACAAGGTTGACTGGAAAATGGATTATTGTACATTTTTGTTATAACTTATGTTTATTGTTATTAATATTATTATTATTTTTATGTATGTGTACGTGTTACTGTTGTTAGTATGGTCAGCTGTTTTTTGTTATAAGCATTTGAAGGTTAGATTTTTGTAAATATTTATTATACATACCGATAACACCCGCAATGTTTTTTTGTTTTTAAATTAACAAGTGATGATAATTAATATAAAAGTAGCTGACGTTTAATAATTTTTTGGAGTTTAAGTTACATTATTTTTTAATAAAAATGGCGATCAAGAGTGTAAATTAAAATTTTTAAAAATCCTTTGCGTCTGAAAATAACAGGCACCGGATTATTTCTAATTTTGATGATTAATTTACATAAAAAAAAAAAAAAATTTATTGGATTACTTCACAATTTTTTATATTATCGAGTAAAAAAATGTATTTTAAGTGTCTTTGTTTCTATTTATAGAAAAACAATTGAATTAAGTGTAATTGTACTTAACCTGACGCGTAACGCTTCGACAATTGAACTATAATCAATTTAGTTACAAAATATATAAAATTAAGTAAATTACTAAATTACTTTCAGTAAAGCAATGAATGTCAATAAAAATAAACGCAGCGTGGGCGTAGCATGGGGTACATATATACATATATCTGTATACATCCACATATAAGAACTTGTAATGATGGGAAAAATTAATATCTGGGAGGGATTCGACGCGCAATCAAGACGCAGTTACGCCCGCGTGGATTTGAATTGCCTTGAACAACAATCTAAATTTTAGTCAGTTGATGTCAGACTAAGAAATGACGCACATTACTTCTGCTTTTGTCGAAATGTTTTGTATACGTTTTATCGCTAATATTTTTGTTTATATTTGACATTTATTAGTACGTATATTAGTTTTTAATTAATTTTTTTATATTTAATTAGTCAGTTTAAATTAGCCATTATATTTGGGTCATAACAAAGAAATTAATGTCAGATTAACCTCTGTTTTAATTGGAAATTTACTTTTATTTACCGTTATATTAGATTAGTAGAATAATAAATATCTAATCACATTATTAAAAAAAAAAAAAAAAATATATATATATAATTAAACAATTGTCCAGCGGTATACTAATCGAAAAATAATTTGTGATTACAGAAATTGAAATTCAAAGTGTCTAATTTAGTTATTGGAACAAGGAATAAATTATTGTCACCTGCAGCATCATTTTCATCTTCATCAAAAATGACGGACTATATTAGAAATAATCTGCGTGAGAACTTGCATAATTTAAAGTCTACGGCGAATCTGCGACTTCCGTCAATTCAACCGGCGTCGCAGTTACCCAACAATAATAATAACAACAACAACAATAATATCTCGTCCGACGAAGTGGATAATCGCGAGTTTCCACGGGCAGATTACCGCCTGGAGTCTGTGAGACTGCAGAGCTACACCAGCTGGCCTCTGAGCTTCATGGACCCTGCGAAAATGGCAGCGGCTGGATTCTATTACACGGGCCACAATGACGATGTCAAATGCTTCGAATGTGGAATCGTAATGCGCGAGTGGGTAGAGGGTGACAACCCGATGTCGGATCACCAGCGTTGGCAGTCCAATTGCCGTTTCGTAAGAAAATTGCCCTGTGGTAACGTGCCGATTGGTGTTGATCCAAGTACCGTTCCGTCAGTGAGTCCTAGAAGCCGTGACGTATGCGGTCGTTATGGAGATGAATTCCGGCCTGGCGCATCGCCAGACTTTCGTTCTGGCCAGACAGAATTCCAGTTTCCCAGTTCTGCTAAGTTGGGAAGTCAAAACCTCGCCCAGCCCAAAGGACCGGCACATCCGGAATTCGCGAGTTACGACGCCAGATTAAAAAGTTTTGAATCATGGCCCAAATCTATGCCACAAACCAAGGACCAACTTGCTGACGCTGGCTTCTACTACACCGGCACTGGTGACCAAACTATCTGCTATCACTGTGGCGGTGGGTTGAATGACTGGGAGCCGAAAGACGATCCATGGTTCCAGCATGCCAAGTGGTTCAAAAAGTGCTACTACGTCCTGATGGTCAAAGGCCAAGACTTTATCAAAAGCGTCATTGGTCAGCCTGTCGCACCACCTTCTCGTGAGGTAATTATCGTATTTATTTATTTACTTATTTATTAGTTGATCTAAAAAAATATTATTGATAAGAAGAAATGTATATTTGATTAATTAATAAGTTGATTGTTTTATTTATGTTTATTGTAGGAGACGATGCAGATGAATTTGTCCAGCTACATTGAAAAATTAAAGCCACCAATGAGTGTTGAGAAACCAGAAGAAGAACCCGAGAAGAAACCGGAGGCAGAAGTTAAGCCGGTTAACAAGAGTGCAGATGACGCCCGTATGTGCAAAATTTGCTATAACGATGTATTGGGGGTGGTGTTTCTGCCTTGCAGACACATGGTGGCTTGTACTAGGTGCGCGGCGAGTATGACTTCTTGTCCGGTGTGTAGAGAGCCCGTCAGTATGACAGTACGTGCTATAATATCTTAGTACCTTTACATCAGCACTATTCATTATATCCTAAAATTATTATCTATGTAAAAATTAAAAAATTTTAAATTAGGATATTTAAATTTAATAGTAATTGAAAATTATTTGAAAAAATTAAATTTAATCGAATGAAATTACCGCGTGACTCATGACGTCTTGTATGCGGGTAAAATTCTATGCCAATTTGAAATATAATCTTCTTTTGATGTGAAGAAATGATGAATAATATATACATGAGAACTTGCAGTAATGCATTGTTCGTAAGATAATGAGACATTACTAAGTCGAAAACTATTTGCCTTGTAATAAATGTCTTATGTAAAGAATATAATTAAAAAATTAATAATTTTAAAAAAATAATAATAATAACAATAATAAATTGAAACGTTTACACCTAAAATAGTAAAATTAATTTTTTTTTAAGTTTGTGTCTTGAGTTTGATAATATTATTTTTGTATTTATGTATTAATTTAAAAAATTTTTTTTGTTATTCGTTTATATATCTAAGTACCATAGAATTGTACCTGCATAATGACATCTAGTCATGATAGTATTACGCGTTACAAATCCGAAAAATAATTTATTTATTTTTTTGTCGAAAGTTTTTTCTTTGTGTAATCGTTTAGAAATAATAAAAGAAATGAAAGTACACTTGGTTCATTATCATTTGTACATGTGATTATTATTATTATTGTTGTTATTATTATTATTATTCAGAATTTGATTAGCGTTGAATAAACTAACCGGAAGCGCCATATATTAAATGGTAATTTAATAAAAAAAACTTATGTAAAAATAAGCAGAAGTCAGATTTCGATTCCAATGACAGTTCTTTTATTTGAAAAGAAAAAATAAATAGAATGTATAAGGTACAAGATATTAATGAATAAAATGAAAATTTATTTTGTTTAAACTTATTGTTTATTTCAGTTTTTAGGAAATTTTTAATTGAATCCTATTAAGAAATTACAATTATAATAGTAATAATAGCAGTAGTAATAAAATCACAGTGACTAGAGATTTTTATAATGAGTAACATAAACTAACAAAGTGGACCATTATGTCTACGTCAGTGAAAGATTCGGTTTAACGATAACCGATTTAAAAATGTGAATTGTGACTCATGAAAAGAAATAAACCAGACTAAAACGCGTTATGACACGTTGAGTTTTCGAAAACATTATTATTGCTATTATTATTATTATTTTAAATTTACATAATGTATATATTTGTATTATTTCTATTACATAACATTATGAAAAATGTTCCAATGGCCAATCCCACAAGCATCATATAAGTTGCCATTTTATACAATTAAAATAACGCATGAAAATAGTATTGAAGTAATTTAGAACTAAATACTTTGAACCTTCGATTAAATTGTTTTATAAGAACTCTTCTAGCAATAAGAAATAGTAATTTAGATAATCCTTTTTTTATGATTATATTATATATGGGCTTAGCGGGTAATGAAAGAAAATCATGCTTTGTAATATAAGAATTTTCCTCTTAGTTTAATTCGCAAGTGATCTAGTGATTTTATATGACTTATAATATCGTAATATTTTTTTTTAAATATATACACTCATTTTAAATTATCTGCTATTGTAAGAAAAACAATGTAATTAATTATTAATAGAAACAAATTGAAATTCAAAATAATTTTATTATGTACTTGGTGAAATAGGTAATGATGTTATTTAGTGGCGATTATTATAATATTTTACAATTAAATTTCAATATACCGCCAACAAAACAATTAAGTACTGAAAGAAAGCTTCACGAATAATTTATTTGTAATGAAAGCGTACGTGCAATTAGATTGGTTTGAATTTCATAAAATCTGATTTAAATAAGAGTAATTTTGTATTTCGCTTTTGCGAAATCAGCTAAAATTTATTTGTAGCATGATACTGAATATAACAATAACTGGGACGCATTAAATTACAGACAACTTAACAAAAATGAATTCATTTGAGAATATTTAGTTAAAAAATAAAAATGAATTAAACACCATACTGGTCTGTGAAGTTTTCATATTTGTCGTTGAAATTAACATTATTTTTTTATTGTATATTTTAAACTAATGGAAACTATATATTATTTATAACATTTTTTTTTTTTAATACTTTTCAACTAATAATTGAGGAGTAATTTTTATTAAAAATTTTACGCATATTGGTGCCGGGAATAGAAAAATTACTTAGATTTTTTTTTTAATAATTCTAACACTGAACAAATGATATACAATGTATACAATTTTTCATATAAATTGTAGAATTAATGATTAAAATAATTATACGATAGATTTTAATATTAATAATTAAACATTTACTGGCAGTATTTTTTTTTTATAAACAATTCCATTTAGAGTTTCTTTCATCAACAACTTGAAGTTATTTTCGTCGTTTAAATACATTATCAAACACATTAATAATGAACTAATCAATTATTGATTTAACAATTTATTTTATAAGCTCATTAAAAATGAAAAAAAAAAAAATATGGGTGTAATGCATCTATGCGCGAAATATCTATGCATCGTAATATCTCTTTTGAAATGTTAACTTTAGAGAACTTTCATAATTTCTATTTTCATTAATTTATATAAATGAATAAAAATAACTTACATACTGTTTTATGTAAAACTAACGTAATGTAAAATTCTGAAGACTCGGCAGATTCACAGAATGAGGAATTTATTATGAGAGTTAAAAAGCAGCATTTTTAAGAAGCATATTGCGATGTAGAGAAAATTCATGCAAAGATGCGCTAAAACTAAAAAAAAATCATAGCATATCACGTAATATTTTTATTAACTATTCATTAACAGAAAAAAAGTATTGTCGATATAAAATAATATCGCCAATATAACATTAATAGATAAATATATAAATTTACGATGTAAAATGTATAGAAAAACAAAAAATACTAATGATTTATAAATAATAAAAGTATAATGAAATATTTAATGTTAAGTAAACCGTGTTGCGTCTGCAATTAGTTTTTGTACAAATAAAAATTTCTGTTAATGAATTATATAAATAACTATTAATTCTTTTTTATAATTCATTGTATGTATCATTTAATCATCTGTACATGTATAATTACATATTAAAAATAAATCAGTTTTCATAAACTGAATAAAATTTACAGGATATCTCTAATTATTTAATTAAATATATATACCCTTAATAATACGTATAATGTAAAGATTGAAAAATCAGTAGCGAAACGAGTCTTAAAAGGACTCCGAGGTACGCCCTTTGAGCAGCATTCCCGGGCTGGTTTATTTTATTTTAATTTTATAAATTAATCTTAAAGAAAAAAGTGCACCAGGATGAACCGGTATCACAAGAGTTTGTGTGGATGCTGTATTATATCCTGCAAAGGCTGGAGCAAGCTGGAGAAAAGCCCGATGCCTGATGGAGGCATACGTAAGATCTGTGTTTGGTCTTTGGTCTCGGTCAGCCCTTACATTCCATTTGACTCGAGGACTCGTGGGAACAGTCCACACAGACTAACACATCGTGTATCTCAAGTACAGTAAAGTATTATATTAAACAAGCAGCGAGAGCATTTGAGTTGAGGTTCAAAGTAGAGGAGAGTTAAGTTTCAGAGAGAGCAATCTCCATGGCCTGTATTGGCTATAGCTGTAATAGCAGCAGCCTCTCTCACGGGTCCATGTACTTTATACTCTATACTTTGTACAATCTTGTTCAGCTCTCTCTCTCTCTCTCTCTCTCTCTCTTTTTATCCCGTGTCAGTTCGTTCGAGTCTGTTTATACATACTTACACTCACATTCAGAGGGTATTTATAATTTTACTTGTGTATGTCTGTGCACGTATACTTGGTATAGAGAGTTTGCTGTTCAACAGTCAACACCCGGATTCATTCATGTATTACCAGCAATATCCGGTCGCGCATTCCACTAGAATAAAGGCATCGCAATCCTCATTCCAATATATAATAATATTCTATTGACTATCATCTTTCACTTATATATTATTGCTGTAGAAAATATTATTTTTTACATAAACTTATCTTGATTTTGTTACTTTGTAACTTGCCTTTTGGGTTTATTTTGAAAATTTTAAAATATCTTCATTATTGAGGAAATGTACATTCATTTATTTTCATGAGTAGTTTTCGTGTTACATCAATAACAGAATAAGAATTCTATCAAAGCCAAATATTTATCAATCATCAATTGAATTCAACATGATCTTCAATAAACTATGATACTGAAATCAACAGACATCTGTCAAATTTGTTGATTCTTTGTAAATATTCATCATAAAAAAATTAGTTATAAAAATTTGCACTTGTAATTTTTTTTTTAATCTATAGATGTGAAATGTTTTTATTAAAATTTTTTCATAATAATTTAGTCGTTATAAAAATAAAAAAAAATTGATAGATGTCTTTTAATTTCAGTATCATAGAAAAACTGTGTATTTTCCGCTTTCTGCTCTTGGTTGATTTTAATTGTCAATTGATTTGAAAAATAGTCGTTATTTATCACCATTTTGTATTCATGTAATTAAAATTCTATGGAATAAAACAAATTATTCCTAACTGTAGAATATTCTGAAACAAAAATATAATTCTCAGCAGTATATCTGTACTGTCATATAATACTTACAATTGATCTTTGAACCGTCTTCCAGACTTATTTATTAAATTTATATTATGTCTTACATGATGGCGCTACAAGTTTTCTTAGAATATTTCTTCCGAATATTTCTGTCAGTGTCCGGAATGTTTATTTTGAACGTCAGTGTCTTGAGTCTTGAGTATTCCAAATATAATTCTGAAAATAGCCGACTAGACGTCTGGAAATTATATTATTTTTATTACTTAATTGCCTATTATTAAAAAAAATTATTCAAAACACATTTATAAAGTTGTGTAAAAGTGCTCAGCAGACATAACATTTTCTAACTTCCCGCTAAGAAAAGTGAAAATTTTCGAAAATCGAGTTTTCATTAGATCTCGACGTTTTGAGGTCCTAGAAAGTTTCCCTAACGATTTTTACAATGGTGTCTTATAACTTTTATATGATTCGTTCGTGAGTTATCGTTGTCGAAAAAAAAGCGAAAAAAGTGTTTTATTGGACTTACTTCGAAATTACTAGCTCGATCAATTTAAACTTAATGATCCTTCATGGGGCTTTGAAAACTGCGTCGAATGCCGCCAACCGCGTGAAAATCAGTTTATTCATCCAAAAGTTATTGCCGTTTGAAAATTCAAAAAATTGTGTTTTATTAAACTGCTATTAGAGTTTTGAAAAGATAAGAGCTCAAGAATATAATTTTCGTGTTATTTTGAGTTCTCCGAGCTCAAAAAGATAGCTGATCTGTGCTTTGACAGAGAGAAAGAGAGACAGACACACAGACATCATCGCGGAAACATTCGGGGTAGCTTCCTAGGACCTCAAAACGTCAACATCCGTTCAAGACTTGATTTTCGAAAAACGGGATAAAACCAATAACTTTCCAACTTTTGAAAATTTTCAATTTTCTTAGCGGGAAGTTAAAAATTATCAAATAAACGGTCTCAAGTTAATTATTTTTAATTTTTACTTGTTCTATATTTCTTTACGATTTATCATATATGTAATTTGAAATATATGTTGTTGTATTTGCAGGACAATTCCTGATTAATTTAATTATAACAATATAGGACACAAGTCTGCACCATTTTTTTTTTTTCAGGTATATAGTTTTAATCATTTCCTTTTGAATTTTCCGCTCGCGGAGAAATACAACTTATTTTTGCACATGCGTATTTTGACGCTGAATTCTAGTAGTGGGGCTACGCTGTGGTAAGGACGTGTTACTGTGTTAGGTACTCACGAACGAAAAGAGATAGCTGTCACAGTAGTCCGTCTATAAGTGCCAGCTGTGCTTTTGCGTTGTTATACTCACAACTGTTTGGACTTGAGTCCGTTCTCTGACATTGGAGCTTTAACATTATTTTTTTTAAATTATTGTTAATGTAAACGATGGCTTAAAATAAAACGTTCTCTTTTATTTATCAGTACAATATAATATAATATATTATCTGTACACATATAAATAAAAATTTAACATTAACAATAGTGGGGAAAGACGGTATTATTTGACAGTGTATGTATAATACTTGTCCTGGCAGCTGTTCTGGTGGCTGACTACGGCATACATAACAGCTAAAGAAAAACTAATATAAGTGGAACTGAAAAACTCTGAATTGCACGTTTATTCGACGCCATTACAACCGAATAGCATTTACCATCTACCCAGTTTACCATTCCTAAGTTAAACAAAGTGAAATGTGTGAATTTAAGAATCACAAACTTAACTGATGAAGGCGTTTCATTTATTAGTGTGAAACGTTTTTAGTTTTTATCTTATTATCATCTGCAAATTTAAGCAGATTTATTATTTTACTCAATCATGCTTTTAAATTGATTTTAAATTTTTAATTTATTTTAGTTTTGTTTATTATTTTAAAGTGTTTTACAATTTATTTATTATATACTCACAACTGTTTGGATTTGAGTTCGTCTGAAGGGTATGTTCTCATATCATTTTTTTAGTTTTAACATTTATACCATTTAAATAAAATCTCACCTTCTATTTTTGTTATCTATTTATCGGTTCTCTTGATGTTGGTTGAATAATTTACAACCAAAAATTTCAAAATATTTAGCTTATCAATCGGCAAATGTTTAATTAGTGTTAACCAATGCTCCAGTTAAAACAGATGGTTGCCTTATAATCAAGAAAAAAGTAAAAAATATACAAACTGAAATATGTACTGACGATAAGATTAAAATATCTTGAACTTTACGACCTAAAAACTTTAAAAATATATTTTGGTAGATAACTGAAGCTCCTAAAATGAAAGAAATATAATAAAAAAAGAGCCTGCCTTCCAATTGACGCAGCCATATGTAGCGTTTTTTTATCGTTTTTAAAATTAATAAAAAAATATAAATAAAACATAACGACAAAAGGAAGGGGGCGTAAATAAATTTTAAATAATAGTATGACTGTATTATATGACTACACATGCATACATAAATATATGTGTACTAGCAGAGCCAGCCACGCGTTGCTGTGGCTCAATTATTATACGTTGAAATAAAACTTGACTTGAAAAATGACGGGGTAGAGAACGGATAATTGAGTCAAAATCTGACAATGACTAAAAAAGTATTTAGAAAAAAAAGTTAAGCACGAATCTTTAGATGTAAGAATTCAATGTTATCGTGTATGAACCCTACAGCGAATCAAACAATTTCTGTGAAAGATGGCATTTAAGGTAGAATACTCGGTCCTTGAATAAATTCTAAAGTTTAAAATATTCAACTCTACTTTTATTGAAAAAAATTCGTAAGATAATTCACCAGATCATCCCTGCAATTTCCCGCTAATTTTAAACGCTAAGCTTTCGGAATTTTTTTTATGAGGTTTCTGAGCTATTCGAGCTTGAAGAAGTTCTTATTCTATGCTACGTATAATAATTATGTCATAAAACTTCGATAACTTTTTTTTAACTTTCGAAGAAATTGACCGATTTCGACGGATCAGCGTTATTCGATGCAGTTTTTCACATTCTATAGAGAAATTTCGAGCACGAATTCATCAATCTAAATATTCTGAAGTAACTCTTCTTGAAATTTTCTAATAACAATATAAATAATGCGGACGAATCAATCGTTTTTCACGCAATAAATGACGATCGAGGGAGTTTCTAAGTTTAGGAGCTTATTAGTTTTGAAACTCTATTAAAAAATACGGTTTATTGGGACCATTTTTTCAGCGTAGAATAATTATAAACGGTTTTCTTTAAATTTAATAAATTTGAATTAGTAGTTGTCAATTTGCATAATTAAAATAATACACAATACATGAAAATTGAATGAATAATAATATAGAAAAAGCACAGTTTTTTTTTTTTTCTATTAAAATAAAATTATAAGGCGTTGGTTTAAACCAATGTAGCCAAGTTAAAAAAGATTTTTTTTTATAAAATGTAACGCCATCTATGAGATGTCTATGACAGACAGTTCTACAGTTTTCTGTAAAAAAAAACTAATTTAAAGCGCCATCTGTTAGATACTGATAAAACTTACATTCAATAACAATGGTCAATATTGATGATCTGTTCATTGTTAATTATTGAGACCACGAATCAAAATAAAAATTTTTCTATCTTATAAGTTGGACCAAATTACATATAATTGTCAACTTTCATGATAATTGATTGACTTGGCTAAGAGTTCACTGTAAACATATACATCATGACACAGGATTTTTATATATTAATATAAATGTGTATTTCCTGGCCTCACTTTATACAAAGAACGTGGGTTTTGTATCTACAATTTACAAGCTATACAAGGGGACTTTGTTGATATCTTCCTTTTTTATCACTCATTCCCGTTTGTAGGTGCTGTCTCTTTTCCTTCTGCAGCTCTCTTATTACAATATCGAATGTGCACTGTTGCCACGCGCGTAATCAAATAACAAAAAAACCAGGAGCGGCATATGTGAAAGTTTTTGAAATTGACATTAAATAATTAGAATAATAATATTTAAAAGTATTTTACTCATTCCTAGAATTTGAAAGTTAAGAAGATTTACATCTGCCGGAATCAGCTCAGACATTGCGTTGAATTTGGACTTTTTTTAATTCAAATAAGTTTCATTGAGTTGGCAATTGAGCCAATTGACCCTACATTCTTCATTTTTAAATGTAATGGGTTTTATTTTTTAATCATCTTCTTTTTCTTGCTCCGTACCTAGAAAAATTTTTATCTATCTTCATCATTAAATTATTCTGTTTAAACTGGTATTGAAGATTGAAGGAGCGACAAATGCTACATCAGTGGAATTCCATTCTAAAGTCACTGGTCTCCTCGCATCACTTGCCTGTAGTCTGTAGCTGTGTTGGTCCCGGTTTTGAATGCCTGTAATATATAAATACATATAAATTTTCTTTATCGGTATGGTTATTTAGTAAGAGTGTGTTAGTACCTGTCTGGCGCCTTATGGTACATACTAAGAAAAGATAAGCCGTGATCACGCTTTGAGAACGTGAACACAAGACATGACTAACTTTAAATATCCATGTATAAGGTACATATGGGTAAATATGTCCATTAACATATTGACGTATTTCAGAATCGAGGATAGAAAATAGTCAACCTGAATCAAAATAATAAATGATGATGAATAGTGCTTAGGATTAATGCAAAATATAACTAAACTTAAAATCTGGCAACGCTGGAATGAATAAAGGAAGAGCGAGGTACCAGGGCCGTATTTTTTATAGTCTGGAACGCTGAGACTGAAACTTATACAAAATGAAACTTGTGTAGTATAGTACGTCCGTATATAGTCGTAGTACGTGCGTAGTATATAGCATATATACTATAATATACAATGAACTACTAATGGGTAGACGGTACGAGATCATGAAAGAGTGGGAAAAGAAATATCTAGAGGGCAATGCGATAGAAGGGGAAGAAAAAGAACGAACGAGGCTTTCTGAGGCCGTTTTCGTATGAGTGCCAACTGAGCTGTGTGACGTTAAACGTGAAACAAGGTTGATTGGAAAATGAATTAGTTTACATTTTTGTTATAACTTATGTTTATTGTTATTAATATTATTATTATTATTTGTATATATTTGTACGTGTTAGTGTTGTTAGTATGGTCAGCTGTTTTTTGTTATGAGCATTTGAAGGTTAGATTTTTGTATACACTTATACATACTAATAATACCAGCAATGTTTTTTGTTTTTAAATTAACAAGTGATAATAATTACTATAAAAGTAGCTGATGTTGAATAATTTTTTGGAGTTTAAGTTACATTATTTTTTAACAAGAATAGCGATCAAGAATGTAAATTAAAATTTTTAAAAATCTTTTGCGTCTGAAAACAACGCACCGGATTATTTCTAATTTTGATAATTAATTACATTAAAAAAAAAAAATTTATTGGATTACTTCACAATTTTTCATATCATTATTGAGTAAAAAAAAAATGTCAATTAATTGTCTTTGTTTCTATTTATAAAATAACAATTGAATTAAGTGTAATTTATCCTAACCCGACGCGCAACGTTTCGACAATTGAACTATAATTAATTTAGTTACAAAATAAATTTATGAAATTAAGTAAGTTACTTAATTTTTTTTTTAATTTACAGGTCTTGATCACATTTTAACTAAAAAATAATAAATTTTTATAAGTACCATGATAAAAAAAAATGACCTATGAGTAATTGCTGAAATTTATCATCTAATGATCCGTAATTTGTAGTCGATCAAATAAAAAATTTCCATCAGTTATTTTCAGTGTTATAATACGAATCATCCTGACGCGGAGACTAGCGAAATAATACTGATTGCCCTCGCCTAGCGTTTTTTAACGGGCCTACGCAGTTTCTTTCCTTTATACGCAGTGTGGGCGTAGCATGGGGTATATATAAACATATATCTACATACATCCACATATGAGGACGTATAATGATGGGAAAAATTAAGATCTGGGAGGGAATCGACGCGCAATCAAGACGTAGTTACGCCCGCGTGGATTTGAATTGCCTTGAACAACAATCTAAATTTTAGTCAGTTGATGTCAGACTAAGAAATGACGCACATTACTGCTGCTTTTGTCGAAATGTTATGTATACGTTTTATTGCTAATATTTTTTTTGTTTATTTTTAACATTTATTAGTACGTATATCAGTATTTAATTAATTTATTTATACTTAATTAGCTAGTTTAAATTAATCATTATATTTAGGGGTCATAACAAAAAAATTAATGTCGGATTAAACTTTGTTTTAATTGAAAATTTACTTTTATTTACCGTTATATTAGATTAGTAGAATAATAAATATCTAATCATATTAAAAAAAAAGAAATTAAAAAAAAAGATAAAAAAAAATATAATTAAACAATTGTCCAGCGGTATACTAATCGAAAAATAATTTGTGATTACAGAAATTGAAATTCAAAGTGTCTAATTTAGTTATTGGAACAAGGAATAAATTATTGTCACCTGCAGCATCATTTTCATCTTCATCAAAAATGACGGACTATATTAGAAATAATCTGCGTGAGAACTTGCATAATTTAAAGTCTACGGCGAATCTGCGACTTCCGTCAATTCAGCCGGCGTCGCAGTTACCCAACAATAATAATAACAACAACAACAACAATAATAATATCTCGTCCGACGAAGTGGATAATCGCGAGTTTCCACGGGCAGATTACCGCCTGGAGTCTGTGAGACTGCAGAGCTACACCAGCTGGCCTCTGAGCTTCATGGACCCTGCGAAAATGGCAGCGGCTGGATTCTATTACACGGGCCACAATGACAGTGTCAAATGCTTCGAATGTGGAATCGTAATACGCGAGTGGGTAGAGGGCGACAACCCGATGTCGGATCACCAGCGTTGGCAGTCCAATTGCCGTTTCGTAAGAAAATTGCCCTGTGGTAACGTGCCGATTGGTGTTGATCCAAGTACCGTTCCGTCAGTGAGTCCTAGAGGCCGTGACGTATGCGGTCGTTATGGAGATGAATTCCGACCTGGCGCATCGCCAGACTTTCGTTCTGGCCAGACAGAATTCCAGTTTCCCAGTACTGCTAAGTTGGGAAGTCAAAACCTCGCCCAGCCCAAAGGACCGGCACATCCGGAATTCGCGAGTTACGACGCCAGATTAAAAAGTTTTGAATCATGGCCCAAATCTATGCCACAAACCAAGGACCAACTTGCTGACGCTGGCTTCTTCTACACCGGCACTGGTGACCAAACTATCTGCTATCACTGTGGCGGTGGGTTGAATGACTGGGAGCCTAAAGACGATCCATGGTTCCAGCACGCCAAGTGGTTTAAAAAGTGCTACTACGTCCTGATGGTCAAAGGCCAAGACTTCATCAAAAGCGTCATTGGTCAGCCTGTCGCACCACCTTCTCGTGAGGTAATTATTGTATATATTCATTTATTTATTAGTTGATCTAAAAAAAATATTAATGATAAGAAGAAATGTATATTTGATTAATTAATAAATGTATTGTTTTATTCATGTTTATTGTAGGAGACGATGCAGATGAATTTGCCCAGCTACATTGAAAAAGTAAAACCACCAGCAATTATTGAGAAACCAGAAGAAGACCCCGAGAATAAACCTAAAGAAAATGAACCTGAGGAAAAGAAACCAGAGGCGACGAAACCCGAGGCAGAAGTTGAGTCGGTCAGCAATAGTGCGGATGACGCCCTTTTGTGCAAGATTTGCTATAACTATGAATTGGGGGTGGTGTTCCTGCCTTGCACTCACATGGTGGCTTGTACTAGGTGCGCGGCAAATATGACTTCTTGTCCGGTGTGTAGAGAGCCCATCAAAATGATAGCACGCGCTATAATACCTTAGTACCTTTACATTAGCACTATACATTATATCCTAAAATTATTATCTATGTAAAAATTTTAAATTTGAAAATTAAGATATTTAAATTTAATACTAATTGAAATAATTGAATTTAATCGAATAAAATTACCGCGTGACTCATGACGTCTTGTATGCGGGTAAAATTCTATGCCAATTTGAAACATAATCTTCTTTCAATATAGAGAAATGATTAATAATATATATACATAAGTAATAAATGCAGTAATGCATTGTTCGTAAGATAATGAGACATTACTAAGTCGAAAACTATTTGCCTTGTCTTATGTAAAGAATATAATTACAATTAATAATTAAAAAATAATCATATTAATTATGATAAATTGAAACGTTTAACATTAAAATTATAAAAATTGAATTTTTTTTTCAAATTCATGTTTTGTGTTTGTTAATATTATTTTTGTATTTATGTATTAATTTAAAAGATTAGATTTTTTTAATTTTTTTGTTATTCGTTTATATATCTAAGTACCATAGAATTGTACCTGCATAACGACATCTAGTCATGATAGTATTACGCGTTACAAATCCGAAAAATAATTTATTTATTGTTTTGTCGAAAATTTTTTCTTTGTTTAATCGTTTAGAAATAATAAAAAAAAAAATGAATGTACATTTGGTTCATTATCATTTGAACATGTGATTATTATTATTATTAATGTTATTATTATTCAGAATTCGATTAGCGTTGAATAAACTAACCGGAAGCGCCATAAATTAAATGGTGAATTGATAAAAAAACTCATGTCAAAATGAACAGAAATCGGATTTTAATTCCAATGACTGTTCTTTAAAAAGAAAAACTAAATAGAATGTATATAGTATAAGATATTAATTAATAAAATAAAAATTCATTTTGTTTAAAACGTTTATCTCAATTTTTAGGAAATCTTCAATTGATTACCTATTAATAAATTACAATTACAACAGTAATAATAATAGTGGTAATAAAATCACAGTGATTAGAGATTTTTATAATGAGTAACGTAAACTAACAAAGTGGATAATTATGTCTACGCCAGTGAAAGATTCGGTTTAACAATAACCGATTTAAAAATGTGAATTGTGACTCATGAAAAGAAATAAACCAGACTAAAACGCGTCATAACACGTTGAGTTTTCGAAAACATTATTATTGCTATTTTTATAATTATTTTAAATTTACATAATGTGCATATGTGTATTATTTCTATTACATAACATTATGAAAAATGTTCCAATGGTCAATCTCACAAGCATCATATAAGTTGCCATTTTATACGATAAAAAAAAACGCGTGAAATGTGTATTGAAGTAATTTAGAAACATATACTTTGAACTTGCGATTAAATGATTTTGTAAGAACTCTTCTAGCAATAAGAAATAGTAATTCAGATAATCCTTTTTTTATGATTATATGGGCTTTTCGGGTAAAGAAAGAGAATAATGCTTTGTATTATAAGAATTTTTCTCTTAGTTTAATTCGCAAGTGATCTAGTAATTTTATGTGACTTATAATATTGTAATATTTTTTTTTTTAAATATATCCACTCATTTCAAATTATTCGCTATGGTAAGAAAAACAATGCAATTAATTATTAATAGAAACAAATTGAAATTCAAAATAAAATTAATAATAATTTTATTTTGTACTTGGTGAAATAGTTAGTGATGTTATTTAGTGGCGATTATTATAATATTTTACAATTAAATTTCAATATACCGCCAACAAAACAATTGAGTACTGAAAGAAAGTTTCACAAATAATTTATTTATAATGAAAGCGTACGTGCAATTAGATTAGTTTGAATTTTATAAAAATCGATTTAAATATAAGTAATAGTTTTGTATTTTGCTTTTGCGAAATCAGCTAAAATTTATTTACCGCATGATACTGAATATAAAAATAACTAGGACACATTAAATTACAAACAATTTAATAAAAATAAATTCATTTGAGAATATTAGTTAAAAAATAAAAATGAATTGAACAAAGTACTAGGCCGTGGAGTTTTTACATTTGTCGTTGAAATTAACATTATTTTTTTATTGTATATTTTAAACTAATGGAAACTATATATTATTTATAATATTTTTTTTTTAATACTTTTAAACTAATAATTGAAGAGTAATTTTTATTAAAAATTTTAAGCATATTGGTGCCGGGATCATAAAAATTACTGTTTTTTTTTTTTTTTAAATAATTTCAACACTAAACAAATGATATACAATGTATACAATTTTTCAAATAAACCGTAGAATTAATAATTAAAATAATTATACGATAGATAATAATATTAATAATTAAATATTTACTGACAGTATTTTTTATTTATAAATAATTTCATTTAGAGTTTCTTTTATCAACAAATTAAAGTTATTTTCGTCTTTTAATAGATTCAAGCTACACGTTTTTAAGTGCATTATCAAACGCATTAATAATGAACTAATCAATGATTAATTTAATAGCTTATATTAATGATCAACACGATTTACTCTCTCTTAATTGTAAGCTCTCTAAAAAATGAAAAAAAAATATAGGTGTAATGAATCTATGCGCGAAATATTTATGCATCGTAATATCTCTTTTGAAATCTTAATTTTAGAAAACTTTCATAATTTCTATTTTCATTAATTTATATAAATGAATAAAAATAACTTACATACTGTTTTATGTAAAACTAACGTAATGTAAAATTCTGAAGACTCGGCAGATTCACAGAATGAGGAATTTATTATGAGAGTTAAAAAGCAGCATTTTTAAGAAGCATATTGCGATGTAGAGAAAATTCATGCAAAGATGCGCTAAAACTAAAAAAAAATCATAGCATATCACGTAATATTTTTATTAACTATTCATTAACAGAAAAAAAGTATTGTCGATATAAAATAATAAAATAATATCGTCAAAAAAACATTAACAGATAAATATAAATATATAAATTTATGATATAAAATGTATAGAAAAACAAAAATACTAATGATTTATAAATAATAAAAGTATAATGAAATATTTAATGTTGAGTAAACCGTGTTGCATCTGCCATTAGTTTCTGTACAAATAAAAATTTCTGTTAATGAATTATATAAATAACTATTAATTCTTTTTTATAATTCATTGTATGTATCATTTAATCATCTGTACATGTATAATTACATATTAAAAATAAATCAGTTTTCATAAACTGAATAAAATTTACAGGATATCTCTAATTATTTAATTAAATATATATACCCTTAATAATACGTATAATGTAAAGATTGAAAAATCAGTAGCGAAACGAGTCTTAAAAGGACTCCGAGGTACGCCCTTTGAGCAGCATTCCCGGGCTGGTTTATTTTATTTTAATTTTATAAATTAATCTTAAAGAAAAAAGTGCACCAGGATGAACCGGTATCACAAGAGTTTGTGTGGATGCTGTATTATATCCTGCAAAGGCTGGAGCAAGCTGGAGAAAAGCCCGATGCCTGATGGAGGCATACGTAAGATCTGTGTTTGGTCTTTGGTCTCGGTCAGCCCTTACATTCCATTTGACTCGAGGACTCGTGGGAACAGTCCACACAGACTAACACACCGTGTATCTTAGGTACAGTAAAGTATTATATTAAACAAGCAGCGAGAGCAT